TGCTGCTACCGCAACAAGACGACAACGAAAAGGACTCCTTCGAGTTGTAGAATTGTCGAGCAAAGGTGCTTGATGTTTAGGGCTCCACACAAAATCACATAATGCTCTGCTTCGAGTTGTAGAGTCTGTCGACTTGCTGAGAGGTCTCGTTTCTGGAAGACGGGGGGGAACATCGTGCTCCATATGTTGGTAGGCTTAGGGCCTGAGGGTTTCGTGCCAGACAGGACTCAGGGGCTTCGACCCATTGCTTTTCGGGTTTAAGACTGGCCTCAGCAAATAAAGTTTGTTGTGGGTTCAGCATTCGCCTCGGGTTCAGGGTGCCCGACTCACGTCTCGACACGCCTTGGAGGATCACGGGACTTAGTGGAACTGCTTTCTGGCTGGTGGAGAACGTTAGCACCAGCACTGCTTCCTCTGCAGAGCATTCGCCGTGCTGCCTTATACTGCCCAGCACGTTCTGCAGAGGCTTTTTCGGTAGATGTGGCGAGAAGAGAGAAATCATCAGTCTATGCTTCCCGCTGCTGGCCGACTTGCTTGTTTTCTACTTGTCACTGTCGCTGCTTCGCTGCTGCTGCTGTCGGTGCTGCTGCGTCGTTCTTTGTCTTTTCTGCATGTTTGCTGCTGTTCTTCGAAGTACTAGCTCTGTCCAGGGCTCCCCTGCAGATCTATCGGAAGGTCGCCAAAGTGCAGGCAAGAAGAGTCTGCTTGCGTGCCAGCTGCACATGTCCTAGTCTCACAGCTGCACCTTGTCATCGAAAGGCTCTGGACGAAGAGCAGCCACGTCCAGCGGAGGCCCTGCCCAGATCCGCATCCTGTCTTTGTGGCTTTGCTTACAGATTGGACCTGCCGGGCTGCTTGCAGTGGCTCGAGCCCAAAAACGAGGAGCTTTGCATAACACTTGCGACTCCTGGGCAATGCTCATCCTCCTTAGCCTGTTCGCGTTGGCAGCTTCCCAGCAGATTGGCACCCATGAGGTGGAGGCTCATCCGGAGATGGCCCTTTGGACCTGTGACGCCGGTGGCTGTACGAAGGAGATGAAGTCCATCGTGCTGGATGCGAACTGGCGTTGGCTCCACAACGGCCAGTACACGAACTGCTACAAGGATGGTGACTGGGACAGCACCTTGTGCCCGGACCCAGTCACTTGTGCAGCCAACTGTCACCTGGAGGGTAACACCGAGAAGCAGTACAAAAGCAGTTACGGAATCAAGACCATTCAGGATGGGATCGAGCTGGGCTTTGTCACCACCACCAAGTATGGATCGAACTTTGGCTCCCGCGTCTACATGCTGGACGATGAGAACACCTACAAGATGTTCAAGCTCAAGAACCGCGAGTTCACGTTGACGGCACAGATGAAGAAGATGCCGTGTGGCCTAAATGGCGCCGTGTATTTTGTGGAGATGGATGCAGATGGCGGGAAGGCCAGGAGTGGCGGCACCAACGTAGCCGGGGCCAAGTATGGCACCGGCTACTGCGATGCTCAGTGCCCTCATGATATGAAGTTCATGAACGGCAAGGCCAATGTCATCGGTTGGAATGCCAGCCATGACCCTCCCATCGGAGATTGGGGCATCTGTTGTGCAGAAATGGATATTTGGGAGGCCAACAGCCGTGCCACGGCCTACACGCCACACCCGTGTTCCATCACAGGACCATACATCTGCGAGGGCATTGAGTGTGGCGACAATTCCAAGGACGAGCGCTACGACGGTGTTTGCGACAAGGACGGCTGCGACTACAACCACTGGCGCCTCGGCGCGGAGGACTATTATGGACGCGGCAGGAAGTTCACGGTCAACTCCAAGAGAGAAGTTACCGTCGTTACGCAGTTCCTCACCGAGGGTAACACGGATGATGGAGACCTGATCGACATTCGGCGGTTCTACGTGCAGAATGGAAAGGTGATCCCGAATTCCAACATATCCCTCGCGGGCGTGTCAGGCAACTCTGTCACTGACAGTGTTTGTGCCGACATGAAGACAGCCTTTGGAGACATCAACGACTTTGCCCGAAAGGGTGGCCTGAAAGCCATGGGAGAAGCTTTGGACAGAGGTATGGTGCTTGTCATGTCTCTCTGGGACGACTCAGAGGCCAATATGCTCTGGCTTGACTCGGACTACCCGCTTGGTAAGGATCCGAGCATCCCAGGTGTCAACAGAGGGCCCTGCAGAACCGACACCGGCAAGCCCGCCTACCTTCGAAACAAGCAGCTGTGAGGGCAGTGGTCGTAGTTGCGTCCTGTTTCCGGTCCGTCGGTGGTTTTGTCATTCGATTTGGCTCTCTCGTCAGTGCAGGCAGTTGTGTCATTGGTTTGTGGCTCCGAAAGACAGCTAAGGTATCCTCGGGCAGAGGTGCAGTACAGCAAAATCAAGGTTGGTACCATTGGCTCGACTTTCGGGGCAGTGGGTGACGACGATGATGGCGAGGACGACGAGTATGGTGACGACAGGAGGCTGGATGAGGTGCTTATTTAGGCTAGATGAGGTGCTTATGTAATGATGGCGAACGTGCCATTCTTTAGTACGGCTGTCACTGGCAATCACTGGCAGCGACGAAGCTAAGATCCAAAGTTTGATTGCACGGAAAGCTTTGCATGATTCAGTCCACTACAGGGGGCTGGACAAGTTTGTTTTCAGTGACGGCTGCTGGCACATCGAGGAATATACCCTGGATCATTGTGCCACACCGTTGCATGATCAATTTTGAATTTTGGGTGCGAGAACGCGGTGTCTTGGGTACATGTAGATGCTTCCTGGGCACGCGTTGCACACTTTTGACTGCATATAGCCGACTAGGCTTGCAGGGTGGCGCAAAAAGGCTCGCCTTCTCACGTGTTGCCAAAGAGTGCCGGCCAGCTATCGTTGATGCAACAGCTGCTGGCTGCATGAAGTGCTGCTGTTTGAAGCCATTTTCAACGGCTCAGCAGTCCAAAGACGAGGAGCTTTGCATAACACTTGCGACTCCTGGGCAATGCTCATCCTCCTTAGCCTTTTCGCGTTGGCAGCTTCCCAGCAGATTGGCACCCATGAGGTGGAGGCTCATCCGGAGATGGCCCTTTGGACCTGTGACGCCGGTGGCTGTACGAAGGAGATGAAGTCCATCGTGCTGGATGCGAACTGGCGTTGGCTCCACAACGGCCAGTACACGAACTGCTACAAGGATGGTGACTGGGACAGCACCTTGTGCCCGGACCCAGTCACTTGTGCAGCCAACTGTCACCTGGAGGGTAACACCGAGAAGCAGTACAAGAGCACTTACGGCATCAAGACCATTCAGGATGGGATCGAGCTGGGCTTTGTCACCACCACCAAGTATGGATCGAACTTTGGCTCCCGCGTCTACATGCTGGACGATGAGAACACCTACAAGATGTTCAAGCTCAAGAACCGCGAGTTCACGTTGACGGCACAGATGAAGAAGATGCCGTGTGGCCTAAATGGCGCCGTGTATTTTGTGGAGATGGATGCAGATGGCGGGAAGGCCAGGAGTGGCGGCACCAACGTAGCCGGGGCCAAGTATGGCACCGGCTACTGCGATGCTCAGTGCCCTCATGATATGAAGTTCATGAACGGCAAGGCTAATGTCATCGGTTGGAATGCCAGCCATGACCCTCCCATCGGAGATTGGGGCTTCTGCTGTGCAGAAATGGATATTTGGGAGGCCAACAGCCGTGCCACGGCCTACACGCCACACCCGTGTTCCATCACAGGACCATACATCTGCGAGGGCATTGAGTGTGGCGACAATTCCAAGGACGAGCGCTACGACGGTGTTTGCGACAAGGACGGCTGCGACTACAACCACTGGCGCCTCGGCGCGGAGGACTATTATGGACGCGGCAGGAAGTTCACGGTCAACTCCAAGAGAGAAGTTACCGTCGTTACGCAGTTCCTCACCGAGGGTAACACGGATGATGGAGACCTGATCGACATTCGGCGGTTCTACGTGCAGAATGGAAAGGTGATCCCGAATTCCAACATATCCCTCGCGGGCCTGTCAGGCGACTCTGTCACTGACAGTGTTTGTGCCGACATGAAGACAGCCTTTGGAGACATCAACGACTTTGCCCGAAAGGGTGGCCTGAAAGCCATGGGAGAAGCCTTGGACAGAGGTATGGTGCTTGTCATGTCTCTCTGGGACGACTCAGAGGCCAATATGCTCTGGCTTGACTCGGACTACCCGCTTGGTAAGGATCCGAGCATCCCAGGTGTCAACAGAGGGCCCTGCAGAACCGACACCGGCAAGCCCGCCTACCTTCGAAACAAGCAGCTGTGAGGGCAGTAGTCGTAGTTGCGTCCTGTTTCAGGTCCGTCGGTCGTTTTGTCACTCGATTTGGCTCTCTCGTCAGTGCAGGAAGTTGTGTCATTGGTTTGTGGCTCCGAAAGACAGCTGAGGTATCCTCGGGCAGAGGTGCAGTACAGCAAAGTCAAGGTTGGCACCATTGGCTCGACTTTCGGTGCAGTGGATGATGCGGACGATGACGAGGACGACGAATATGGTGACGACAGGAGGCTAAATGAAGTTCTTATTTAATTATGGCGAATGTGCCATTCTTTAGTACGGCTACTGCTGACAATCACCGGTAGCCACGCAGCTAGGTTCAATGCGACGTTGCATGCCTCAGTCTGTTGCGAAGAGACTGACAAAGTCTGTTTCACTGAGGGCTGGTGCGCATCTCGGGGAATCATACCCTGGGGCCGTCTGCCAGCCCTTGATGTGATGCATGCCGGGTGCGTTAACACGGGTGCCCTGGGTTACATGTAGATGCTTCCTGCGGCCCGTGTTGCACACTTTTGACTGCGTATAGCCGTATAGCCGACTAGGCTTGCAGGGTGGCGCAAAAAGGCTCGCCTTCTCACGTGTTGCCAAAGAGTGCCGGCCAGCTATCGTTGATGCAACAGCTGCTGGCTGCATGAAGTGCTGCCGTTGAAGCCATTTTCAACGGCTCAGCAGTCCAAAGACGAGGAGCTTTGCATAACACTTGCGACTCCTGGGCAATGCTCATCCTCCTTAGCCTTTTCGCGTTGGCAGCTTCCCAGCAGATTGGCACCCATGAGGTGGAGGCTCATCCGGAGATGGCCCTTTGGACCTGTGACGCCGGTGGCTGTACGAAGGAGATGAAGTCCATCGTGCTGGATGCGAACTGGCGTTGGCTCCACAACGGCCAGTACACGAACTGCTACAAGGATGGTGACTGGGACAGCACCTTGTGCCCGGACCCAGTCACTTGTGCAGCCAACTGTCACCTGGAGGGTAACACCGAGAAGCAGTACAAGAGCACTTACGGCATCAAGACCATTCAGGATGGGGTCGAGCTGGGCTTTGTCACCACCACCAAGTATGGATCGAACTTTGGCTCCCGCGTCTACATGCTAGACGATGAGAACACCTACAAGATGTTCAAGCTCAAGAACCGCGAGTTCACGTTGACGGCACAGATGAAGAAGATGCCGTGTGGCCTAAATGGCGCCGTGTACTTTGTGGAGATGGATGCAGATGGCGGGAAGGCCAGGAGTGGCGGCACCAACGTAGCCGGGGCCAAGTATGGCACCGGCTACTGCGATGCTCAGTGCCCTCATGATATGAAGTTCATGAACGGCAAGGCCAATGTCATCGGTTGGAATGCCAGCCATGACCCTCCCATCGGAGATTGGGGCTTCTGCTGTGCAGAAATGGATATTTGGGAGGCCAACAGCCGTGCCACGGCCTACACGCCACACCCGTGTTCCATCACAGGACCATACATCTGCGAGGGCATTGAGTGTGGCGACAATTCCAAGGACGAGCGCTACGACGGTGTTTGCGACAAGGACGGCTGCGACTACAACCACTGGCGCCTCGGCGCGGAGGACTATTATGGACGCGGCAGGAAGTTCACGGTCAACTCCAAGAGAGAAGTTACCGTCGTTACGCAGTTCCTCACCGAGGGTAACACGGATGATGGAGACCTGATCGACATTCGGCGGTTCTACGTGCAGAATGGAAAGGTGATCCCGAATTCCAACATATCCCTCGCGGGCCTGTCAGGCGACTCTGTCACTGACAGTGTTTGTGCCGACATGAAGACAGCCTTTGGAGACATCAACGACTTTGCCCGAAAGGGTGGCCTGAAAGCCATGGGAGAAGCCTTGGACAGAGGTATGGTGCTTGTCATGTCTCTCTGGGACGACTCAGAGGCCAATATGCTCTGGCTTGACTCGGACTACCCGCTTGGTAAGGATCCGAGCATCCCAGGTGTCAACAGAGGGCCCTGCAGAACCGACACCGGCAAGCCCGCCTACCTTCGAAACAAGCAGCTGTGAGGGCAGTAGTCGTAGTTGCGTCCTGTTTCAGGTCCGTCGGTCGTTTTGTCACTCGATTTGGCTCTCTCGTCAGTGCAGGAAGTTGTGTCATTGGTTTGTGGCTCCGAAAGACAGCTGAGGTATCCTCGGGCAGAGGTGCAGTACAGCAAAGTCAAGGTTGGCACCATTGGCTCGACTTTCGGGGCAGTGGATGATGCAGACGATGACGAGGATGACGAATATGGTGACGACAGGAGGCTAAACGAAGTTCTTATTTAATTATGGCGAATGTGCCATTCTTTAGTATGGCTACCGCTGACAATCACTGGCAGCCACGCAGCTAGGTTACACGGCATTTAATCGCACAGAAGAGCTTGCATGGTTTGAGCCATTCGGCCAGTCCACTTCCGCTAAATTGGACAGGGTTGGCATTGGCGCATCTTTGCACAGGAGAGCTGCTCGTCTTGAGGAGCCATCGATGCCATCTATCGGCTAGTTCGTGGAGATTGCATATACACTCCCAGTTTGCAAGATGTCGTATGCTTACGACCGAGGTTCCTTGACGTTGCTGCGCGTTCACGGAACGCTAATGCTTGCTTGGACGTGCAACTCCGGTCATGTCACTGTGCACCCTTTTGACGGCATGTTAACGATCTGCCCATGCATGTTTTGGCATCAGCCAGAATGCCGTGCTGCCGTGCTCTGGACTGTGAGACTTCAGTGTCTACAGAGCCTTCGATGCAGAATGCAAAAGCTCTCGGCTGCGACCAGCTCTGCAGCCCTGTGCTCCTGTGCTGCAAGTGGCGGTCTCTGCACTGCTCAGATGCGACCACCTGCGCCGCCGGTCGTGATCCGTCCGCGGTGGGGGCCCACAGGGGCCGGGGACGGAATGAGGCTGGAGCTGTGGAGTGGTGTTGTGGGGTTGTTTCGCCAGGAACAAGGGCCAACTGGTGCCGCCACGCCAGCCACTCCAAACGACAGGAGCTCCACTGCATCGGGCAGTTGCATGGATGCTCCACTGTTTTGTTATGGTTGTCCTCAGCAGTTTTTGCACCCAGGAGTCTGCCTGGCACTGTGGTTTTCGTTTTCGATTTTTCTGCCTTGTTGTGTTGTCAGTTGGGACGCCAGGAGAGGCGGCGCCCTCGACAGAAGCGGAAGCGAAGGCGACGGCATCTGAAGCACAGGCTCGCAAGGCCTAGTGAGACGGCTCGCTTGTCCATATACGTTGACACTATCACCCACACCGGTAGTGGTAGTTGTAGTAGCAGAGGCTGTGGCCGTGGCCGTGGCGGTGATGGTGGTCGTCGTCATAGTGGGAGGGGAGTGGGAGTGGGAGTAGTAGTAGTAGTAGCAGGAGGAGTAGAAGTAGTAGTAGTAGTAGTAGTAGTAGTAGTAGTAGTAGTAGTAGTAGTAGTAGTAGTCGTAGTCGTAGTCGTAGTCGTAGTCGTAGTCGTCGTCGTCGTGGCGTCGTAGCATCGTAGCATCGTAGCATCGTGGCAGCAGGAGTAGGAGCGGGCGATGGAGCGGAAGCATACTCCTGCTCCTACTCCTCCTACTCCTTCTCCTACCCCTACTCCTACTAATCCTACTCCTCCTACTCCTGCTCGTGCCTGCTCCTACTACTACTACTACTACTACTACTACTACTACTACTACCACTACCACTACCACTACCACTACTACCACTACTACTACTACTACTGCTGCTGCTGCTGCTACTACTACTACTACTGCTACTACTACTGACTGCTACTGCTACTGTGCCACCACCACCACCACCACCACCACCACCACCACCACCACCACCACCACCACCTACTACTACTACTACTACTACTACTACTACTACTACTACTACTACTACTACTACTACTACTACTACTACTACTACTACTACTACTACTACTACTACTACTACTACTACTACTACTACTACTACTACTACTACTACTACTACTACTACTACTACTACTACTACTACTACTACTACTACTACTACTACTACTACTACTACTACTACTACTACTCCTCCTCCTCCTCCTCCTATTGCGACTACGACTACGACTACGACTACGACGACGACGACTACTACTACAAGTCGGACCGGTGTAGTCGTAGCGGCAGTTGTAGTCGTAGATGCAGCTGTAGTTGTGTTGTGGTTGTGGTGGTTGTGGTTGTACTGCTGTTACTGTAGCCGTTGCTGTTGTTGTTCGCGTTCTGTTCTTGCTGCGACGTCCTTGCTGCTGCAATGGTCGGGTCGCAAACAAAGCAGCAGCAGCAGCAGCAGCAGCAGCTATCACCAAGTATCAGCTTTAGCGCCGTCCATGTCATGGCAACGTCGTCGATGTCCTTCTTCAAAGTCTGACGGTTCTTCTTGCTCGGAGCACCAAAGCAGTACTCGGGCACAGGCACAGTCTTGAAGCCCAGCCACCGACACTCTAACACGTTGTGCCATGCTGTGCCCCTGTCGCCATGGGAGCCTCCACGAGCCTTGCGCGGGTGGGCTGCCAACGCCGGGCCCGGACAGAGTACCGCCGTAATTGGCTGTGTCACCTGGGCAACTTAGGCTCAGAAATTAGCAGCTGAGATCATTAGTAATAATCATTAGTACCAATCAGACATGCTTTCGTAGTTTGCGGCTCTAAGGCGACGAGCTCTTCCTGCATATCTGCGATGTAACCTGGCTTCGAGTGCCCAACAGGACGCTGTGCCGTCGGTGTCTGCAAGGGAGGGCTTAGGTCTCAGAGTCTCTCTCTCCTCTCTCTCTCTCTCGCTCTTTCTCGCTCTCTCTCTCTGTGGTAGGGGGGCTTTTGAAAGTCGAGGCTCTCGAGGCACCCAGCCTTGGCGCGCTGGGCAGCACGAGCTCGACGATGGCGAGGCGAGGCGTGTTCTCGCACGATAGGAGGGGTCGAAAGGTGGGGGGGGGATTTCCCAAGCTCTGGAAGGCCGGGCTGGTGTGTTCGCCTCTGCATCGCCGGTTTTATCGAAGCATGTCAGCTTCTGGCGATGCAGGCACTTGAGCAGCGAGGCCGCCTGGCGTCAGGCCTGAAAGCACTGGTCAGCAGCAGTTGGGATAGTGCTGTAGTCTGGAGTTCAAGAGGCTCGCTGTCGCTGCTGTCGGCTGAGCTAGCAACTGTGCTGCTGGTTGACTTTGGGACAAGTTGACAAGCCTTTCCTAACCTTTGCCCAAGAGTCAGCTTAGGCTTAGATCTGTCTCCTCGCTGTCTTTCCCTTCGATCCCATGTTTCCCGTGCGTGTGCTGCACATCCCGTTTTCGGCGATGTTGCTGTCGCTGCTGTTGCTGCATGTTGCTGTCTCGCCGCGCATCAGGCCTGCTACGCCTACGGCGGCCCTCTGCAGGCGGCCAATGCCAAGACCTTGCTGCAAGGCACATGGCCACACATAGGGGCTGCACCTCAGAGCCTCTTGCGGTGCTTGCGGTGCTTGCGGTACTGGTAGTTATGTGAGACGGTGCTTTCCGGCCGGGCCCCGGGCCCGCCGGACCGCCCACAGCGAGGCATGCGGCTTCTGTGGCTTGGATGGGAGCTGAAGGAGGCGCCTTTAGCGCCGCCGGCACGGGCGCCTTGGAGTGAGGAAAGGGCCCCCCTTTAGGCGAGGCCGCTCTGCTGCTTTGCTGCTTTGCTGCTTTGCTGCTTTGCTGTGTGGCGCGCTGCTATCTTCAGACCGAGGACAGCCATGCGGCCTTTGCTGCCTCTTTCGGGATCCTGGTTTTCGGAGGCACCGATCCACGGGCATGGCACGGGGAGCGCGGTGGATGCTCTGCAGGGAAACAGCTGGGCCAGCGGCGCTTCCTGAACGATCTCTGGGTCCTGGACGGGCCAGGGCGATTGCCGCACTTTTCTGCGTTCGGACCTCCACCGCTCTTGGCTTCCTTTGCCAGGACGTCGCCACGGGCCGCTGGGCGGAGGCTGCGAGCGCGAGCGGCGAGGGCCCCGCGCCCAGGCCAGGTCGGGAAAGATCTGTCTGGCGGCTTATGCGGCTTGCGAGCGCGACTCTCCTGCAGGGCCTTCAACGCCGATGGTGGGGCCGGTCCGGGCGGTGTTCTCCGAGACGGTCTCGGCCGCGAGTGGCTGGTGATCTTCGGCGGACTTCGAGGATGGAGCAGAAACCCTCTTGGTCCCAAACCCTCTGCTGTCAAGAGTTGACTCCCAGGCGAGGGTTTCCGGGACAACGAAACCTGGGCGCTGGGTCCCTTGGTGGGTGGCCTGGAGGACGGGGACACCCGGACACCCGTGGAGGGGCGGAGAAATGCGGAGAGAAGCTTGCAGAGGCAGCTGCCGGCTGGCAGTGGCGGGAGCTGCAAGGAGGCAGGGGCGGCTGCATTGTTTCGGACTCCGCTCCAGACTCCAGACTCCGCTTCCTTCGGCAGGTTCCGGAGCTCAAAGCCGAGAGAGGCGGGCGGTCCCCCGATTCCGGCGGCCAAAGTTGCGCGAAGTGGCCCCGTCGCAGGCCCACGCCGCGGTTCCATCACACGCAGACAGTGCTGAGGCGCAGAGGGGACGGGGACGGAAAGAAAGCCTCGATGGAAGGGTCATCGCGAGCCAGCGCAATCTCCATCATCGGCATTTCAAGATCAAAGCGCTTGGCAAGGCCGTCGACCTTGGCAGTGGTGGGTGGCCACAACTTCATGGTCAGGCCGTGCGGGAGCGGGCCGGGGCTGGGGGGCGGAGGGCGTCGGGGATGAGAGTTCCCGCGCACTGAGAGGCCAATTTTGGGCTCTGCCCTTCTCAGTTTCGATGTCGGCGAAGGCGAAGGAGAGAGAGTGAGAGAGAAGAAGGGAAACCTCTACATCATAGCCCTGGCGAAAGAAAGAGAAGAAGGGCCATCTCCTCGTACGTCGTACGTGTGTTGTCTAGCTCCAGCGCTACTCACCGCTTTTGCTTTCGCGGGGATGCTGACTTGGCTGTAGATGCTGCTGTGACATGACCGTGCTGGTCGTTGTCCATCAACTCTGAAGGACTGGAGGATGTGCGGTGGCGGCACCTCGATGAGGCCGAAGGCTGTCGGCCTGTACCGTGAGACTGGAGATCTTGCTTTGCCAGATGTAGGCAGTAGCAGCAGAGCATGATAAAGTCGAGCGGAATCTGACCAGTCGCAACGAAGGACTGAACGGTACCGTGGTGGATGTGGGCTTGTGAATAGTCAGACTGGAGCAGGACGTACACTCAAGATTCCACGAATGTAGTGTACAGCAGCAGCAGCAGCAGCAGCAGCAGCAGCAGCAGCAGCGGCACAGTCGAAGAGCATGACAACTTACAGCGAATTGCAATGGATCGGGACAGCGCATGTATCCTCTCAGAAATGGATACCACAAAATACTTTCCCGGTAGAGCACGATAGGGCGTGTGGTGCCAACGTGACAAAGACAGAACTGGATGTCGTCTGGTGGAATACAAGCAATGTGACGGAGTTCAAGCACTAGTGCATCCGGGTTCGAAAACGCTTTTCTGCTTGGAAGGGGCCCCGGAAGCACGGGCTTACCACGCAGCAGCAGAGTTTCGGCAGCAGCTGGTGCTCTTTGGCGGTGAGGCTCGGAGATCGATATGCGAACAAGCACAGGAGCACAGCATCCGAGCAAGATGAGTTGTAGAGACAGTGTGGAGATGGAGGGACGCTCCGGGCAGGTGCGCAGCCCCTTCAATGGCTACGAGGCGAGGGTTCAAGAGTCCAAGGTCCAAGTGCCTTTGAACTTAAAACCCTCTCGAAGGTGCAGCGAGACACTTGGCTCCTGGACCTGTCTGGGCTCCTTGACTTAAGCGCGCATAGAGAAAAGGCCGCGGCGAAAAAAGAAGAGCACAGCATAGCCCGATTCCCCTTGGCTCGGCTTTGGCTCAGGTCCTGGAGGCGTCTCAATGCCGAGTTCCCAGTAGGCGCGAGCGATCGAAAGGGTCTCGGAAACGCCGACGAAGCTACGATGCCGTAGAGCTGTCGGATAGGCAGACTTCGCAGAAGTCAGGGAGCCTTTCCCTTTATACGCACAAACTTTCACAGAATCTCGAGGAACCCGAGGGTTTAGCATATGCCCATCTGGGTCCGCTTAAGTTCAGCGTGAAGTTGGGGGAGCTGAAGCCGAGGCCACGTGCAAGCCCTGACAACCCACCCCGTTCCGATCGCACTGTACACCGAAAGAGCCCCTTCTCGGAGTTTGGCGGGGGGGGGGGGGAGTTCAGAGTTCAGGCCAGGAGTAGGAGCCCCCTTTGACTCCCACCCTTTGTTTCTCTTGCGGTTCAAAAAGCCATCCCATCGCCACAGGCCGCAGCCGAGCATCGGCGGCCGTTGTCTCGGATCGTTTCCTTTGCATCAGCGGTGGCTACGAGCTGGCGCCAGGCGTAGGGCCGTGGGCCGTGTTTTTTCGAGAGGCTCAAGAGGCCGCTCCTTGTAAGGGGTTTTTATGTCGATTTGAGGGAAAAAAAGAGCTTTAGACAGGTTGGGGATTCCTGCATTAGCATCAGGCTCTAAGACTGGGCTTCCTGAGTGTGACACTGACTGTGTGAGGATACAGCTACTGGACTGCTAGATGCTTTAAGGCTTTAAGGCTTTAAGGCTTTGCCTTCTGACCGTCGTCTTCCCGTCTTCTCTTCTTGCTGGGTGGGCCGTCCTTGCATTGCGAAGGCCGCGCCGCACCGATGGTCCAGCTGCCGGGCCGCAACCTCCTTCCTCCTTTCTTTTCCCTCTTTTCTTGTACATAGCAAGGCCTCCAAATGTAGAATCCTGCCTCATTGTGATCATGATAGCAACGATGCTGGCGCCTCGGTCTGTTGGAGGACGAGGATCTGAGTCGGATGATCATGGTGCTGGCGTTAGCGATGATGTCAGCACGCACTGCAGGCTGCAAATTTGCGCGGACCTGTGGATGCTGGATTTGCTGAATCCTGTGCGCCTGGCTTGTGGTTTGACCCTGGAGCAACTCGTTGCTCCATGCAACGCTGTCTTCTGCCAGGACGGCGGCTGGAGCAAGGCTTGTGACACTCGGCGTTCCGGGCGCCTGGCCGCGCAGCAGCACTGGAAGAGTTTTGTCCGGCGGACTCGGTGAAAGTAGTTCAAGCAACGGTGACAGGACGCCATGGCAACAGTCCTGCATGACGGCAAGACGCTGCTGATCTTTGGTGGCCACGATGGCTCACAGTTGAATGAGTTTGGAGATCCGACCGGAGGCGAGCGAAAGCCCAAAGCAGAAACCAGAGCCGACTGCATCCCTTGGTGAGGCTATGCGCCAGCATCGGACACCCTTGGCGTCCGCTTCCGTGCGGATGGCACTGTAGTCACGGCCAGATATGCAGGCGAGACCGCTGGGAACCAGGCGCCGCTTTCACTTCTGCCTTGCGATGCTGACGAGTAGACTCGAGCTTGTTCAAATCATTCGCTCTACCGTGCCGGCTCGATGTGAGAGTGATGCTGGTTGTTGTGCTCGCCCTCACCTCATCTCTCACTCGCTCGCTCTCACTCTCACCTTGACTCGCATCCCTTCTCACTTCCACTCGCTCTCACTCTCCTCCTCTCACTCGCCGCTGCTCTCACCTGATGAAATGCTTCACATGCCTTACGGCGAAGCTCGTGCAGAATGCAAGCATTCGTCCTCAGAATGCGTGGATTGCCGTTGCTTGCAAGATTCTGGCAAGCTCTCATCACAATTGAACCTGTCTTGCCAAGTTAGACGCACCCTGCCAAGCTCGCTGAATCCATCGGCATCTTTTCCTCTTTGGTGGGTCGAAGAATTCAAAATACCTTTGTGACACGTTGCCACCCTTAAGATCCCAGTGCCCGTTCTCGGCTCAGTCCAGCTTCTCTGCTCTGGTGGCGTCACACAGCCCCGAGCGCGTGGTCGCGCTTGGGGGGGCGGGCGCGGGCGCCTTTGCTGAAATGGGAAAAGCAAGTAAAGAAGTAAAGGCGCGAAGCAGACCCAGGGTGGAGCCGATGCTCATGCTGTGTTGCGCTCACCTGCGCCGAGACGACAACGGCGATCGACGGACATGGAAGCTCTCCACTTTGCAGCTATGCTGGCAGGCACAACATAGTTGTGGGACTTTTGCTGGATGGCCACACCTCATGACGCGCTTGATGGCTAAAGACGGTTGTGATGTGAAACATGGCTGAGCCGAGCATGTCATATGCCGAGGTCAACTCAACTATACTCTGGAACCTCCATTTCTTTGCCTGATTGAGGCGGAGGAAGTGGAGCACTTGGATGCTTTGCAAACCACGGAGCGAGTGGACGCAGCGTGGTAGGCTGGCTGTGGCTTGATGGCCTGTGTGGATATGACATGCAGTACAGCAACATTGTTGCACTGACGACAATGGCACTGTACGTCCGCGTGCATGTACCATTAATGGTGTGTCCAGGACTCATAAGGGACCTGGGAAGGATACTGTTGCTTCCATGAGAAGGGATGCTAGGACGTGCAGCCTTTAACCTATCTATCCCTTGTCCCCGCTTTGGAGGAGAGCAGATCACTTTGCGGCCTGCGGCGCGTTGCCAGCGGGGTTTGCTTGGGAGGAAAAAAGGATCTTTGCGGCGCTAAGCTGCCTCGAGAGTGGACGAGAAAAGTGGCTTCGTGGCACAGGCAGAGGGCTCGGAGGTGGCTGAGCCGGCCGCAAAGCGATTGCGGACTGAGAGTGGGCACAGTGAGAGTGAAGGCCAGTAGACGGAGCGAAGACGGACCAAACAGCACACAACATGACAAGGACTGCAGAGATTCCGTTCGAGGGGTCAGGGGCAGCAGACTGTTTCACACTTCACGGAGGCCGTGACAGGAAAAGAGAGGTCCAGGTCGGCAACGGCAAGGGAGCTCCAGGCAGATGTTTCGACTTTTCAGCTCCTGTGTCCAACCTTTGCAAGTCATGGGATGTTGTAGGCCGGAACTGATCCATGGAAGAAGGTGATACGCTGCGTTCACGCATGAGGGCGTAAAGTTTTCAGTGGGCCCAAGCCTAAACCTAAAACCTACCCGAAGTGCTGACCTATACGCCTTTGACGCCTGGCTCGAACCAATCTTGAGCTGTGTGACCGTCACATACCGAACCGAATTGCCGCAGGCTTGGCAAGAGCATGCCTAGAGCTACAGGCTACAACCGCTACAGGCTATAGCGGCTAAAGGTCTCTTGCTTCGGCAAACTCTTCTTCCCTTGATCATAGCTCAGCTGCAGGCTGGCAGGCGGCATGTTCCACATGGTCTCCGACGAACTGGAAGACAGGCTGGTGGGAGCCTGTAGGCGCCGAGAAGCAGAGGGAAGCTGAAAGTGGCGCGCAAGGACATGCCTCATACAGCAGCCCCTTCGACAAGCGCCAACAGCTTCGATGCTGGGATTGCATCCTCTGTCTTGTGTCGCGGTCCCGTTCAATTTCTGCTTCATGCATGCATGCATGCAAGGATGCCGCATGCCCGGCTTGTGTGCGCGCATAGACAAACGGATTTACAGACAGAAAATTGGATAGAGAGATTGGGAGAAAGCGTGATGGAGAGATAGACAGATACAGAGACGTAGGGAGAGAAGGAGATAGATGGATAGGTACATAGATGGGTAGGTAGATAGACACGTATATGGATGGAGAGATCGGGAGGTAGAGATGTAGAGATATAAAGGGACAGAGAGATAGATAGTGAGGTAGAGGCTAGATGCATAACGCACTAGCTAGATAAAGATACGAGAGACATAGCGACAGATGGATAGGCAAGATACCTACATCTCTATATGGACATCAATATCGGTATAGATATCAATATCGATACTGGTTAGATATGGATTTACGCATGCACGGATCGATAGATCGATAGATCAATCGATGGATAGATTGACGCACAATCACATGCACACATCATCTCTCATTACCCCCAGTGCCTAGCGCATCGGAGAGTAGCGTAGCACGTGCTTTTCACATTCGCACTTTTTGGATTGAAGCTTTTGGGCTCGAGCTTTCCAGCCCGAGCCCACGATGCCAGGCCCCTGGGTAGCGGCGTCCGCCGACCCCGAGGGCTGGCTCGGAACGACCCTTCATGAAGGGGACTACGTTGAGTTTGCGGCGTATGATACGTCGTATTGCCGCCAGGGCACCGTCCTCGCAAGGATTGACCACTTGACTGAGAAGACCAAGCATGGGCAGTGGTCAGAGATCTCCATCCTTGCGGTAAGCGACGAGCACCTGGAATGGTGGTTGACACATGGGGATGGAAAAGAAGAACAGTGGGCTTTTGAGGCCCACTTCTGCGCAACTGCACAGCGGTCGTGCCGACAAAGCCACCGAGGCCGTGGCAAAGACTTTCACACAGACCGCTTCCGCATCCTCACCGTCAGCGACCTCAGCGACAAGAAAGTTGATTGGCTAAAATCAGGAAGAGCCAAGAAGTACGTGGAGGAAGAGCTGAAGCGACTTGCGAATCTCCCTACGGGGAAGGCGGACCATGGAGCGCCTCAAGGGGCTGGTGGCTTAGCCTTCGACGACGGTGCCTTACCGGCCGCTGAGCCGAGTGAAGGTGACCCTGCCCTAAAAGGGCTAGCCGAGTTGGAGAAGGAGATCGGCCGAGGTAGGCCACCGAGAAAGAGACAAGGCTCGCCCAGCAAGAAGGACCCCCTCACGAGGGAGGAGAAAGGGCGAAAAGAGAAGAAGGACGGGAGGCGAGCAAAGTCCTCCAGCAAGAAAAAGAAGAAGAGGAGAAAAGATGAGGGAGCATCCGCCCACGGGCGAGCGTCTAGTGCCCCGGCCCAGCATGCCGATGGAGGATGGTTCGGCCAAAAGCCGAAGGGACCCGAGCTGGTGAAGAGCAGCTCTGGGTCTACGTCTCCGAGCTCTTCGTCGGAAAAGAAGAAGAAGAAAAAGAAGAGCAAGAAGGCGAAGGACCGCGGGCCATTCGGAGCCGGTCCTAAGCTGGACTACGGCCTAGCCGACGTGGGAAGCGAGGACTCGTCCGGTGAGAGTCAGCTTTTTCGCGAAGGCCCCCACTCCGGAGGAACCAGCCTGCAGCTCCAGTTGCAGGAATACGCCCAGAAGAAGCCCGGGCGTCTGGCTTCCAGACTGCTGCAGAAGATGCAGCTCATGGTCGCGAAGGAGGGGGGGCCGTTGACGACTCTCAAGAAGGGCTCTCGAACGCCGCCGGTGGCGACCAATTGGACCCTGACTGTCATGTCGCCCAAGCAGGTTCCGGTGCGCCTCCTACGGGAGATGAGGACTTTAGCGACGGCCCTGGACGAGATCGCAGCAGGACGCTTCCAGTACGCAGCCGACGTGCTGAGCCAAAGGCTGAAGGCTCTGGAACTGTTCCACAACGACGGGACGTGGAACAGGGCGCAGTACCTGGAGCTCCTCGACGCGGAAGGTCCCATGGGCAGGGACGAGGCAGTGATGGCGTCGAAGGAGTGGGCAGGGGAGTTGCGCATGCGCCGCCTTCAGGGCAAAGGGGGCGGCAAGTCGGAGTCCAAAGGGGACGGCAAGACGCAACCCAAAGGGGATCAGAAAGGAGGGAAGGACCAAAAGAAAGGAAAAGGAGGGAAAGGCAGGGAGACGGCCCCGACCGAGTAGAGCCAGAGCGTCCGGGCCGAGGTACAAGAAGACCCTGGGCAAGAACCGGCCGGTGCTTCGGCCGACCAGCCTGTCTCCCTTGAGGAGATGCTCACGTCGGGCTTCCTGGATTTCGAAGTGGGAGACCTGGGAGAGAGCGATGATGATGGTCTCCCCACGGGGAAGGATTTGAGGACCTATTGGGCCGGAGTGGCCAAGGGCATCCCAATGGAGGAGTGGAGGTCGAAGTTGAAAAGGGCCATGGACCGCGAGCCCAGGATGAGGTCCGTCGGGAAACTCCTCATGGACTCGATCCTTGACCTCAAGACGGCTCTTGGCAGCTTCGCACGCGACTTTGCGAAGGCGACGAGCCCACCTCAAGCCAAGGCCGTCGCGGGGTTCACGGTGACCTGCTTCCAATCCATCCTGGGTTGGTGGCCATTGGCTTGGAGGGAATCTCCACTGACAACCTCCACTGGGTCCGGTTTATTTTGGTTTGCTTGGACTATCTCTACTGCTCCGGGTGGTCCAAGGCAATCTGCGTACCAATGTCGAGGACTCTCGGGTCAAACCAGAGGGCGGCGATCTCTCGCATCGCGGCCCAGGTCGACCGGATGCTGGCCAGGGGTGACAAGCTGCTCTCTTCAAAGGCAGCGGCGGCGAAGCTCCTTTCGAAGAAATTTGACTACAGCGGGAACCCAGTCGACCACATGAAAGACTTGGTCGCCGAGAAAGTGGTGATGGCTTGGCCCAGACCGGGGTCAGCTGCTGTGGTAGATCTTCGGGATTGCTTACCCGACCACCTCAAGGAGGCCCTTGACCAGCCGAGAGCTTTCCTCCTGCCAGAGTCGGAACTTCCCGACAGGCACAGGGGCTCTAAGGTCAGAGCTTCCGACGCGGAGTGGCACAAGATCGTTAGAGCCGGTTACGACCGAGGTATGTTCGTGGCCGTGGACGACGATGATGTCCCCCTGGACAAGCGCGGCCACTTGATCACCAATGGGGCCGGTGCCGTGATGAAGATGAAGAAGGAAGAGGGGCGCACCATAGAGGCGCAGCGCTTTATATCAATCTTGTGCCCAACCAACGACGCAATGCGGATGCTCCCCGGGGCACAGGACAAGTTGCCCTACGTCGGGCAGCTGACCGCGATCATGGCGGAGCGCGACTCGGATTTGCAGAGCGCCTTCAACCTTTTTAGGATGCCTTTGGAATGGGCCCCCCTTTTCAGCTTTGCGAAGAAGGTGAAGGGCGACGCTTTGGGAGGATCGGCCAACACTATGGTTCGCCCAGCCTTACGGGTGATCCCTATGGGATGGACCTCTGCGGTCACGCTGGTCCAGGCAGCCATCCGGCACATTGCCTACACCATAGCGAAGGTCCCTCCCCACGGGGATGTGTCAATGGACCAGCCTCTCCCGAGCACGAGCTCCACCACCATCCTCTATTTGGATAATTTCGATGAGATACGCCACCTCAAGAAAGAGATTGCTGAGAGTGAGGAGGGGGCCCCATCGCCGAATCACCTGAAGTTCATTGATGCCTGCAACACCTTGGGGCTCCCGAGGAACGAGAGCAAGCAGCTCTGCGGAGCCCTGACAGGCACCCTCCAAGGAGGAGAAGTTCTCGGTGATCATAGGATCCTGAGACATGCCTATGAGAAGTCTGTGGAGCTCATTGGCATCTGGCTCGGCCTCCTCACGAACGGGACCATGCCGGACTCGTGTATCCGTCACTGGACGGGGAAGGCCGCTTTTGCTGCCGCGTTCCGGCGGCCACTTTACTCGGTACTGCAGGAGGTCTACGGAGTCCTTGAGTCGAACCACTCGGGGACACACGTGTCGCTGGCGAGCTCGGTTGTGGATGAGGTCTTGGTCTTCACTGGACTCCTTCCCCTAGCTGAGACGGACTTGGCGTCGGAAATCTCTGAAGAGATAAGCTGCACTGATGCTTCTCCCTCGCGGGGGGGGGGGGGCTGCTCAGTCGCGTCTCGGTTCAAGGACAAGACGCTGGTCATCCCTGACCCGGTGGAGGACCTCAACTTCTGCGGCAGCTGTGGGAAGGAGTTGTCGGAGCCAGCGGGCCGCACCTACCCGTGCCCGAGAAGATGTGGCCTTCGTTGCTGCACACTTCTGTGTGCAAGAGCGCACGCAGATACCTGCAAAAGGAAATGGTGGCACGTGCCGGCTTTTGGGGAGCGCTTCTCCGGGGGCAACTTTCCTCTTACGAAGGCCGTTGGCTTGAAGGGAATCTCCACGCAACCTCCGCTGGACTACGAGATCCGAGGGGACACGTGGGACTTCAGAGAAGAAGCCGGAAAGGCCCGCCTTGAGGAGCTAGAGGGCGACGGAGATCTGTCATGGACCCATTGGTCCCCTTCCCGCATCACCTTCCTTAAGCACAAGTGGGTGGAAGGGACTGCTCCCCTCAGGGATCGGGCTCACCCCGAAGGGCTGCAACGGCTGCCCCAGCACCTCAATGTATCGGTCAGGCAAGCAAACGCCATCGCCAAGGCAGCAGCAAGGGGACTGTCGGTAGCCTCGACGAGGGGAAGGTTGGCCTCTCTCGAGCTATGATTCGTTCATCTGGGACGTGCCCGAAGTGAAAGCTCTCCACGGAGAAGGTTGGTTCCACTCGGTCTTCTCCACCTGCTGCCACGGAGATGACAAGGAGATGTGGCTCTGTGTCCTCCACAACTCCCCTTCCTTGCATGCGGTTCTCGACCAGCCCGCTTGCAGGTGTAATCCGAGGAAGCCCTGGCCCAGCCCAGAGCTCGACGAGGACGAGGACTCGGAGTACCCGTGGGCCTTGTGCTTAGAGGGGATCTACGATGAGTTGAACTCTCGCTACTCCGAGCCTTTCGGATCTCTGCCGCCTAACCTGGAGCACCTCCTCAGGCACCAGCTTCAAGGGGCCACAAAGGGGCTACAGCAGGACACGGCCGTGACTTGGGCCGTCCAGCAGTGCACCGCCTTCCTCGAAACCATGGAGACGGCGGGCCAGGAGAAGGAACATTTCATGTGGCTCCTTCGCCACTCACATCATACGGGGTGTGATGTGAGACTCACTGACCGTGGGGCGGATGTCATGGGACACCGCCCTGGGCCATACCCTGCTTTTCGGTGGCACTGGCGGGATGTCCTCTCCTACCAGTGGCGCGAACCTCAGCACATAAACGTGCTGGAACTTACGGCCTTCCTCACGGAGTTGAGGCGCAGGTCTCGCAACTCTGCAGAACTTGGGAAGCGCTTTTTCTGCGTCCTGGACTCCCTCGTCTGCTTCTACGTGCTGGCCAAAGGCAGGTCTTCTTCAAAGCGCCTCAACAGAGTCAGCCGCCGCATCGCTAGCCTCTCTTTGACGTCTGGTCTGATCCCCATGGCCCTGTGGACGATAAGCAAGTGGAACTTCTCTGATGGTGCGTCGCGGAAATTTGAACCGCAATGACCACCTCAGGTTCTTGGGGATCACAGCAAAAACCAGACGATCATATGAGGGGGCAGTGGCGGCTTTTTGTGCTTATCAGCGCGCCCTACGGGGCAGGTTGCCGGTTTCTATGGGTGAACTGGATGAGGAGCTTGCAGAATATATCAATCACCTTTACCAGGAAGGTGATACGGTGACAATGGCGGGTTGGACCGTGAGTGGACTCAAACGGTTCCTTCCTCGCTGCAAGCCTCACCTGCTCACAGCTCAGATTTATCTGAGAAACTGGCAAAGGGTACACATGCCCCGCAGGACCAACCCCATGACGTGGTTGGGGGCACGTGCCATGGCTTCAGCGGCCTTTCAGATCGGGAGGCCGGATCTCTCAGTCACCATCCTTTTGGGTTTCGCTTTCTTCCTGCGAACCATGGAACTGCTTTCTTTGAAGATCGGCCACGTTCGCCTTTTCCCGGAAGATGGCACCATTGTTATTGCCATTTTGAATTCGAAAACTTCTCGAGGCCTGCAACAATCTCTTTCTCTCAAAGAGCCTTCCCTCGTGGCAGTGCTCAATTTTCTGCTCGACCGGGCACGCCCGAGAAACCTTTTGTATGAGCACTCTGTGGCCTCTTTTCGGCATGAATTCTCATGCCTGGTCCGTGCTATCGGCCTGGTTCCGGCCGATTTTCTCCCCTACTCCTTGCGACGGGGAGGAGCTACTGAGTTTTACCAGCGGACGCAAAGCCTCGGCCGCACCATGGTCCAAGGCCGCTGGAAAGACTCTCAGACCGCGCGGGTCTATATAGACGATGCCAGGGCCACCCTGGTACAACTTTGTCTCCCCCAACCCACAGCCACCCTTCAGCGATCTTTGGCTTCTTTCTGGCGAATGGCTGTGCCAGGTTGCTGTTCATGAGTTGGACAGTTGGCGTGGGCGGTTGGCGCTGTATTGCGCCCGCGGGGGATCCTCCCACGGGAGAGGGGCCTACGGGCCAGACTTAGGCGCTGTACATTAGAGCGCCGGTGGGCGCTTCAATGGTTTTAGATCCTAGTGCGCCAACCGGATCCTTTCCAGCTCCTCCGGCGTAAAAGTGCTTGCACTGTGAATACCCCCAGTGCCTAGCGCATCGGAGAGTAGCGTAGCACGTGCTTTTCACATTCGCACTTTTTGGATTGAAGCTTTTGGGCTCGCCTCCTCCACCCCGCCGCCGCGCATTGCGCCCGCGGGGGATCCTCCCACGGGAGAGGGGCCTACGGGCCAGACTTAGGCGCTGTACATTAGAGCGCCAATGAGCGCTTCAATGGTTTTAGATCCTAGTGCGCCAACCGGATCCTTTCCAGCTCCTCCGGCGTAAAAGTGCTTGCACTGTGAACACCCCCAGTGCCTAGCGCATCGGAGAGTAGCGTAGCACGTGCTTTTCACATTCGCACTTTTTGGATTGAAGCTTTTGGGCTCGCCTCCTCCACCCCGCCGCCGCGCATTGCGCCCGCGGGGGATCCTCCCACGGGAGAGGGGCCTACGGGCCATCACATGCACACATCATCTCTCATATATATATATACACACCTACATATATATATATATATATACATACACACATATGTATATGTATATGTATATGTATATGTATATGTATATGTATATGTATATGTATATGTATATGTATATGTATATGTATATGTATATGTATATGTATGTGTATGTGTATGTGTATGTGTATGTATATATATATATACATATGTATATATAGCTAGATGTGTACGGACATACATATACAAATGTATACCTACATGTATATGTATATATATATATGTAGCTATATGTGTACGGACATATATATATATATAGATGTGGTCGCCCCCCCCGTTGACAGACCATGTCCTTTCAAGTGAGTCGTAACGCTTGGTCTGTCATCGGATGGGTGACAATCAGCTCTCCCATTCTCGCCCCTAACTTTCAGTTTTCCAAACTTTCGAGGCAGTTCCAGGAGTTCCAAAATTTCCAAAAAGTTCCAAAATTTACAAAAAGTTCGCCCTTATGTTTTGGACAAATCCTGTCCACTAGGTCTGGGCATTTTGGAAATTTTGGAAAGTTTGGAAAGTTTGGAAATTTTGGAAATTTGGGAAATTTTGGAAATTTTGAGGATTTTGGAAGTTTTGGAAATTTTGGAAATTTTGGAAATTTTGGAAACTCTGGAAACTTTGGAAACTTTGGAAACTCTGGAACTTTTGGAACTTTTGGAACTTTTGGAGCTTTTGGAAATTTCGAAATGTCGGAAATTTCGCAAATTTTGGAAGTTTTGGAACTTCTGGAATTGATTTTCAAGGGGGGCTGATTGTGACCCATCGGATGACAGACCATGCACCACGACTCACTTGCAAAGGCAAGGTCTGTTTAGACGAACATCAGTATATATATAATTTTTTGGTACTCCTACGAACACTATTACCAATACTAATACTGACATTGATCATTTGCTGACTGCCACAGCTAATACCAGCATTAACACTAATATTTACTTTTATAAAGCCAATACGAATAGGCACCGCGCTGGCACCATACAAATACTACTAAAAATGATTAATACTGACGTTCATACTCCTATGCATATCAATAACTATGCCCATGTGTATTTTAATACCAATACTAATACACACCTGCATGTACCAATGTACATAAATATACATTCCACTATATTAAAGTACAAATACATTCTCTCATGCATGTATTTATCTGTTAGTATTTTTCATGTAATCAAGAGTAATACTAATATAAGCTAAACGTTCCTGCGAATACATATCCTCATTTTAATATTAGCACTAGCGCTAGCACTATTACTAATACCAATCACACTCTCTATACCAACACCAAGATGTACATAAGTATTGATACTCCTATGGGTACTACTGCGTATACTCTTATGCTGTTAACAGTAATGCTGTCACCAATACTAATGCTGATATTGATAACTTGTTGAATATGCAAGATAATGCCAGTATTAATACCATTTTTAACACTTATGCTAAGGCTACTGCGACTATGGATAATCCTAGTACGAATTTTACTATTAATACTCCTACGAGTACCAATAGTCATATTCAGATTGATGTGACGACTAATACCATTGCAAAAGACACGTGCATATACAAATGCACACCAAAACACATACCATTATCTTAAAATGGCGATATGTATCAATGCATTCATGTACTGCTGGTTTACGACAAGCATATACCCATATACCAATGTAACAACACACTACTTGTTAATTGTTAATGTCTGAATATGCTATACTAGTATGCTACTATACTAGTATGCTACTATACTAGTATACGACTACTGTAATATGCAAGTATACCGACATGGCAGGTTAGTAGACCAATATGCCAACACACTGATATAGTTATAAATCATGAGACAATACACGTATATTGCATATACTAGTATACTAATATACTGATGTACGAATATACTGGTACATTAATATAACACTGTATTGATTCACCAACATACTAGTTTACTCATGCATCAGTTGAATTAAAGTATTAAATTTACGAATATACAAGTATACAAATATGTTGCCTCTCGAATACATTAATGTATTGATATACTAATCTGCCGATATACGAAACTATCAGAATAGTAACATATCAAAACTAATTCTAATTTTGATACCAATACTTGCACCTCTGCCGTTATTAACTGATATTAAAGCCAGCATGAAGACTGATACTAATACTAGCAGTGGTACTCTTACTGGCATTGACACTGGCACTAACACAAAGACTAAAACGAAGATGAGCACTAACATCAATGTATTTTTAGAAATATCGATATATACATATATACATATATATACTTACAGTAAAAACTAATACTATTACTGATACTAATACTAATACCAATATTAATACTCATCCTAATATCAATGCCTACCACAAAACTAATAACTCACGTGTCGCGCGTCTGGTCCATGCGTCCTCAATACATGGCATGTTAAAAGTATACTTGGTATATGTACTGTAAAGGTCCTGTAAAGGTTTTGCTTTACAGATTATCGTCATGTGTGGTGTGTTTAGATACAATATCTCCGCCGAGTTATCGAACGAGAGTACATTATCACAAGGGCATGGTCTGTCAACGGGGGGGGGGTGAGCATATAATTGTATACACATACATATGTATAACATTTATACAGGTATGCCCATCATATCATATGTGTGTATACAGGTATGCATGTATGTACATGCGCACGGGGATACACGCATCCATGCATACAGGCACACCTGTGAACCCAAACGCAGACAGGGGACATGCACAATTGCACACGGACAGACCATGGACGGGCGTGCACATGTGCATATGTACATGCATATAGAGACAGTCAGACAGACAGCAGACACCCACACAAGCACGTTTTCTTCTTGCCGGTTGTTGCCTGCAAGAAATCGTTCTCGCATGTCACGGAAGAGGCCACCTCAGAAGCTGCAGCACTGCATCGTACTTTCGGGTACTTGACCAAGGCATTTCAATCTCACAACGGGGCATTATGCGAATACGACAGCGTTGGACCATAGGCTGCAGGAGCTGCGACATGTGATGCAGCTTTCAGTGGATGATCGTGCCTGAGCTATTGGTACGAGCTTGGGAAGAAAGGACATGATCTTCATTTCGCCGGAAATCTTTGAGACATTGTGTGTTCCTATCCTTGCACTTTCTGCAGGCACGCCTCCGCCAGAGAAGCCAGACACATCACAACTGCTGCACATGCAATCCTCCTCGCTGGTGTCAGTGGCGAAGTGGCTTCGCACAATGACTTGCCAGGTGCGATTTTGCAGCAGAGCCCGCGGTCGCAATCCGCAGGCCGGGGAGAGAGGATTAGACGGCGGGTCGAATTCTCCGGAGATGCTTCTGTGAGAAATCTGCCAGTCGTGCCTGGAAGGTTTGTTGGTTTCCTTCTTCGGTGCCCAGACGGCCATGAATCTCTTCATGAAGCAGGCGGGGCCGTCGAGGTGTGCGGTCGCGGCAGTCAGACCGAGTCCCCGCCACTGGCAGCTCGGAGCTGGAAACCGAAACCTCGAAGCGTTGCAGCGTTGCAGCGTTGCTGAGCTGACGTGTCACGAGAGCTCTGGAATCCTTGAAAGTCGCCAGGGGCGCTGAGGCGTGACATGAACTAGCGCACACGAAGGTCGCCGACGTCCGTTGCATTCCGGTAGGCCTCCCGTCGAACAACTAAAAGTTTCGTTTGGAATCCACGGTGAAGCTCGGTGGTGGTCCAGCTTGCCGGGAAAAAGTTCGCAATTCCAGTAAATCTGCGCACGTACGTGTGATCCACCCTCTGTCGATCTCTGTCGCTCCTGCCTCTGGCGAGTGGTGTGTGAGTTGCACGGCGTCGCACGGGTGCTCGAAGCACGTGGCCACTGCAGCTTTCGCCGTCACAGCAGCGGCAGGAAACGTTGGCCGAAAATCAGACAGTCGCGGTGGCGGCATCCTATGGCACAAGGAACTGAACCTGGATACCTGCTTGCGGCAGCCAGGGACTGGTACATGTGCTCATGGTCCTCGAGGCCACGGGAGCATGGGATCGCGCCGGGGGGATCGTCTTGGACCAAATCGCACGAGCAGTGGCGTCACGTGGTAAGGAAGCTTCTGCACTTCGGGCCACCTTGCTTCAGGAGTTGAGAAACGTTGTGCGGAGCCACCGAGCCCGGGCACCCCTTCAAAGGCGCACTGAAGCTGTTCAGGATACTACCGCTGGTTGAATTCATCGTGTTTACCTGTCGACCTGAAGCTTGAGCTTTGGTAGACGGACATTCCATCTCTGCGAGCTAGAATCCGGAATGCCACGCGGCTCCGGGGCTGAGCATTCATTGTCCAAGCGGGCGCTGACTCGAACGACCAGCGTGACGCCGAAATGCCACGCGGCTGTGCATTCATCTCCGAGCGACCAGCGTGATGCCGGGGGCCGGGATGCCACGCGGCTGTGCATTCATTTGACAGCCGGCGCTGATTCCAACGACCAGCGTGACGCCGGGATGCCACGCGGCTGTGCATTCATTTGAGAGCCGGCGCTGACTCGAACGACCAGCTTGAAGCCGAAATGCCACGCGGCTGTGCATTCATCTCCGAGCGACCAGCGTGATGCCGGGGGCCGGGATGCCACGCGGCTGTGCATTCATTTGACAGCCGGCGCTGATTCCAACGACCAGCGTGACGCCGGGATGCCACGCGGCTGTGCATTCATTTGAGAGCCGGCGCTGACTCGAACGACCAGCTTGAAGCCGAAATGCCACGCGGCTGTGCATTCATCTCCGAGCGACCAGCGTGATGCCGGGGGCCGGGATGCCACGCGGCTGTGCATTCATTTGACAGCCGGCGCTGATTCCAACGACCAGCGTGACGCCGGGATGCCACGCGGCTGTGCATTCATTTGAGAGCCGGCGCTGACTCGAACGACCAGCTTGAAGCCGAAATGCCACGCGGCTGTGCTTTCGTTTGAAAGCCGGCGCTGATTCCAACGACCAGCGTAACGCCGGGATGCCATGCGGCTGTGCATTCGTTTGAAAGCCGGCGCTGATTCCAATGACCAACATGACGCCGGAATGCCACGCGGCTTTGCAGTCATTTGGTGCATTCATGTGAAAGCCGGCGCTGATTCCAACGACCAGCGTGACGCCGGGATGCCACGCGGCTGTGCATTCATTGGCAAACCGGCGCTGACTCGAACGACCAGCCTGAGAAGCCGAAATGCCAAGAGCTGTGCTTTCATTTGAAAGCCGGCGCTGATTCCCACGACCAGCGTGACGCCGGGATATGCCGGGATGCCACGCGGATGTGCTGCGGCTGTCCATTCGTCTGAAAGCCGGCGCTGATACCAACGACCAGCGTGACGCCGGGATGCCACGCGGCTGTGCATTCATTTCAAAGCCGGCGCTGATTCCAACGACCAGCGTGACGCCTGGATGCCACGCGGCTGTGCATTCATTTGAAAGCCCGCGCTGATTCCAACGACCAGCGTGACGCCGGGATGCCACGCGGTTGTGCATTCATTTTCATTCATTTTCAAGCCGGCGCGGATTCATTTCCAAGCCGGCGCTGATTGCAACCACCAGCGTGACGCCGTGATGCCACGCGGCTGCGCATTCATTTCACACAGCCGGCGCTGATTCCAACGCCCAGCGTGATGCCGGGATGCCACGCGGCTGTGCATTCATTTGCAAGCCGGCGCTGATTCCAACCACCAGCGTGACGCCGTGATGCCACAGCCGGCGCTGATTCCAACGCCCAGCGTGACGCCGGGATTTCACGTGGCTGTGCATTCGTCATTTCCAAGAATGCGTGACGCCGGGATGCCACGCGGCTGTGCATTCTTTTCCGAGCGACCAGCGTGACGTCGGGATGCCACGCGGCTGTGCATTCATTTCCAAGCCGGCGCTGATTCCAACGACCAGCGTGATGCCGGGATGCATTTGAAAACCGGCGCTGATTCCAACGACCAGCGTGACGCCGGGATGCCACGCGAGTGTGCATTCATTTCCAAGCCGTCATTGATTCCAACGACGAGCGTGACGCCGGGATGCCACGCGGCTGTGCATTCATTTCCGAACCAGCGCTGATTATTCCAACGACCAGCGTGACGCCGCGGGATGCCACGACGCTGTGCATTCATTTCCAAGCCGGCGCTGATTTGAGCGACCAGCGTGACGCCGGGATGCCACGCGGCTGTGCATTCATTACCAATTCGGCACTGATTCCAACGACCAACGTGACGCCGGGATGCCACACGGCTGTGCATTCATTTCCAAGCGGGCACTGACTCGAACGACCAGCGTGACGCCGGGATGCCACGCGGCTGTGCATTCATTTGAAAGCCGGCGCTGATTCCAACGACCAGCGTGACGCTGGGATGCCACACGGCGGTGCATTCATTTCCAAGCCGGCGCTGATTCCAACGACACCACCGTGACGCCGGGATACCACGCGGCTGTGCATTCACTTTCAAGCCGGCGCTGATGCCAACGACCAGCGTCACGCCGGGATGCCACGCGGCTGTCCATTCATTTCCAAGCCGGCGCTGTGATTATTGCTGATTCCAACGGCCAGCGTGACGCCGGGATGTCACGCGGCTGTGAATTCATTTTCAAGCCGGCGCTGACTTGAACGACCAGCTTGAAGCCGAAATGCCACGCGGCAGTGCTTGTATTTCCAAGCGGGTGCTCATTCAAACGTCCAGCGTGACGCCGGGATGCCACGCGGCTGTGCATTCATTTCCAAGCCGGTGCTGATTCCAACGACCAGTGTGACGCCGGGATGCGACGCGGCTGTGCATTCATTTCCAAGGCGGTGCTGGTTCCGACGACCAACGTGACGCCGAGATGCCACGCGGCGGTGCATTCATGTCCAAGCCGGCGCTGATTCCAACGACCAGCGTCACGCCGGATGCCACGCGGCTGTGCATTCATTTCCAAGCCGGTGTTGACTCGAACGACCAGCGTGACATCAGCACCGGCTTGGAAATGAATGCACAGCCGCGTGGCATCCCGGCGTCACGCTGGTCGTTGGAAAATGAATGCACAGCCGCATGGCATCCCGGCGTATCCCGGCGTCACGCTGGTCGTTTGAATCAGCGCCGGCGGGGAAATATTTGCACAGCCGCGTGGCATTTCGGCTTCAAGCTGGTCCTTCGAGTCAGCGCCAGCTGGCACATGAATGCGCAGCATTGCACAGCCGCGTGGCATCCCGGCGTGACGCTGGTCGTTGGAATCAGCGCCCGCTTAAAAATGAATGTACAGGCGCGTGGCATCCCGGCGTCACGCTGGTCGTGCACATCAGCACCGGATTGGAAATGAATGCACAGCCGCGTGGCATCCCGGCTCCAACGACCAGCGTGACGCCGGGAGGCCACGTGGCTGTGCATCCATGTCCAAGCCGGGGGTGATTCCAACGACCAGCTTGAAGCCGGGATGCCGCGCAGCTGTGCATTCATTTCCGTTTGGGTGCTGCTTCAAACGACCGGCTAAGCCGGGATTCCATGCGGCTGTGCCTGCAATTCCAACCCAGCAGTGATACTAACGACCAGCTTGAAGCCGGGATGCTAGGCGGCTGTGCATGCACTTCCGAGCGGGCGCTGATTCAAACGACCAGTTTGAAACCGGGTTGCCACGCGGCTGTGCATTCATTTCCAAGCGGGCGCCGATTCAATCAAACGATCAGCTTGAAGAAGGGATGCCGCACGGCTGTGCATTCATTTTCAAGCGGGTGCTGATTCAAACAACCAGTTTGAGCCGAGGTGCGACGCAGCAGTGCGTTCATTTCCGAACGGCTGCTGATTCAAACGACGAAAAAAATGGAGCTGCGTGAAACAAGGGTGCCATGCGGCTGCGCATTCACTTGCAATGCTTCCAAGCGGGCGCTGATTCAAATGATCAGCATGAAGCATGCAGGGATGCGTTTTCCAAGCGGGCGCTGATTCAAACTACTGGAAGCCGGGATGCCACACGGCTGTGCATTCATTTTCAACGGAGCGCTGACTCAACCGACCGGTTGACGCCCGGATGCCACGCGGGTGTGCATCTTCACCCGGCTGGAAATGAATGCGCCGCGGCGCAGAACGATCTTCAAAACCGAGGGCTTGGAAATGAGTGCATCAAGCAGGGGTGTTATGACTCGAGCGACCCGCTTGACGCCGACAGCTTGCTGCACGGAGACCGAGAGCACAGGAGGGGCTCTGTGTCGCCAGGCTGCGACGGTGCAACATGTGCATGGAGCGACAGTCTGCTAGCTGTGGCCGCTCAGCGTGCCGGCCTCAAGCTGTTCGTTTGAATCAGCGCTCGTTTTGACATGCAAGCGGCTTCAGACTGGTCGCTTGAATCAGTGCACACGGTGAAGCTGGGGAAAGAGTGCACAGCCGCGCTGCTTCAGGCTGGCCGCTGGAATCAGCGCCCGCTTGACGGCTCACGGCGGAGCATCTGCCAGGGTGAAGGTTGCCAACCACGCAATGTTTTGGCAGACGAAGTTTGCGTTATGACCACGCCAGCTTGCGCCCGTGCAGCACTCGACGTCGTCACTTCGACGATCCCAAAGCGGCGAGGTTGCGTGCGCTAGAGGGTGAAGCGTGGCTGACGGCTGCAGGCCTTGCAGTGTCCATGGCTCTTTCTTGCCATGTGACCATTTACTGTGCCCTGCCTGCGCATTGCCGCTGCGGGTGTCACTCGCCTCACCCACCCAGGATGGGAGGGTCGGCCCTTTTTTTGGAGTGCTATCCACGAGGCCCGCGCCTGGCCCAATGCGAACTGGTGCCAGTGCTGGCGGCATCACGATTCGCACGCTTGTTCAACTGATATTTCGCAAAAGCTGCGTCGCTGCATTCGCTGCTCTGTTCCACACTCGCACAATCTGGGCCGCACGTCGCGAAGCCGGGACAACACCGCTGCCACACCGCATTACGTGGCGATTGCGCTTGTCGTTGCCTGTCGCACGGGGCAGGTGGGTGCGGCTGTGGCGCCACAATCGATGACTGTGGTTCTCAGCATGCTACCTGCCCCATTGCCGGTGTGCTGGTCCGGCTAGCCACGCCGCTGGAACATGCATAGACCAAGATGGTCGGCGAAGCAGTCGGGCCGGAAAGCCACGTCCACAGCTGTCCGTGACGATTTGTGCGCTCACCAGCAGGCAGCTCCAAAAAACACTTGTCGCTGTGCAGTCGGTGTGGCTGTGCCAAATTCGTGACATGTCGCTGACTACACTTTGCAGGCGGGCCCGGGCCTGTTTGCGGACGCAAAAGGGCGTGCGGAAAATGCGGCTCGAGCCAGTGGCGAAACGCGGCTTGCGTTGCATGGGCACATTGGTGTAAATAGGAAATCCAGGCGTCCCTTATCTTCAGTTGGTGTATCAACCATTGTGTCCTGGGATACATGCGCATGCTGCCATGCCTTGGCTTCGACGAACGGTGCGTGTCGCTCGTCGGTCAGCCGACACGATCGGGGGTGGGGCGCCCCCCCCCGTACAGTACAGGTTGGGGGACAGTTTCGCAAGGTTGAGACCTTGCAGCATCCTAGCATTTTCACAGCACAGGATGGAAGAAGCAAACAAAAAGGCAATGACACAAGTAAGCTGTCCAGTTCTTTCGTTGCAGGTGTATCATATGAACGGCGTATGCGCCAAATGGGTCTGCCCGAATTCGGCGCGTCAGGTATTTTCGAATTACAAGTTGCCCGGCGGACTCCAAGGCAATGGTCGTGTTGCAGATGTGTTCCACGTTGATCCGTTGCACACGCGCTCTGATGCAGGCGTGCCGGCACCTTTCGCGATCACGGCCATACAGCAAATTACAAGCTTCCTCGCTCCCAGATTGATATTTGCAGCCATTGGATGCAGAGCTTGACGTTTTGATTTTTATTTCGTAACACTCGTCCGCATTGCCGCCAAGGTCCTTTCACTTGGCAGCTTGGTTGCATGATGGCAAAACCCATGTTGAACTTTATTCACCCTTGTTCTCGTCAGCCAGAGGCCTGCAAGCCGCTCGGTGCTTCGGTCACCATGCAAACTGCCAGATGCTGCGAACTCGCAAAGAGGTGGGGCACGGACGGAAGGTTGACATTGACAGCATGCCAGGACATGCCAGGATCCAGGCTCAGCTTCTCAACCAGCGTGCACCTTGCTGGATCTCTGAAGGAACTGTGTCGTCGATAGCTAATGTTCTGCCCTTCGGGCCAGTATCCTCGCGAGGGTTTGGCAGCCGACCCTGACATTCCGGCAGAAGCGAAAACACGTCAACCCCAAACCCTTCAAGCTTAAACCCTGAACTGCAGAACTGTACACAGACATAGTCTCAAGAGGGTTTTTCCTTTCATGTTAGTCTTTCAATCCAATGGAGTTGGCCATCCGTGAGCCCGAAAGCCCACGCACTTTGGACCAGGACTGAACCAGGGAACCGCCCAACCCAAACCGTTTCGAAACGCCACCCCGAAAAGCTTGCCTCAATCTCCACAGATGGTCCAAAACGCTGACAACACACACTGCAAACTAACACCACAAAAAGCGTTTTTTTCCCAATGTGCTCGAATCGATGTGCCATTCGACATGTAGTTGAGTTTTGCTGTTCGTCGGCTACAAGCATTGCCATAGCTTCTTGTAGAGTTTCGTTGCTCTCGTATCGTAACAGGAGTGCACCACCTGCGAACCTTAAAAAGGGTGGTCGACGCCGGATACAGGGACTGGCCACTCAAAAAGAGGAGGGGCAAGACCGGCATCAGTCCTGTGCATTTTATTTGGGATGGCCATGCATATCAGGAGTAGGTCACGCATGAACCCTACAAGGAGTGGAATTAAAAGTAATCAGCAAAGAAAGACATGTCCAAAAGCACACGGAGTGGGACAACTGTGATCACACCAAAAGAACTGGCCACGAGCGAATTAGAGGACTATCAAATTAAACGGAAGGACGGGCCAAGCTTGAAGCACCAAAACAGATGGGCGCGGCCAGGAAAAAGTCACAAGTGTGATGACAGCCTGCAAGCAGTGTAAAAGTTTTTCGAGCTGCGTGAAGAAAGAAGCGAAAGGGGAGCATTGTCTCAGAAAAGGTGAAAAAGTCATAGGGCACAGAACGGGAAGTCGCAACTGAACATGGTTTACTTGTGCAGGTCAGCTGTGTGCTTTTGTTGGCGGTGGCATTTGTTTGCAACATTGGCGGCTTGGATGCAGGAAGTGACGTTCGGTTTTTTGTCGAAACCTTGTTTGGAAGGGGATTATCGGCACGACCCAGGCCCCACCCTAGCACGTCAGGACCTCAATCCCAACTGACCTTCCAAAACACGTAAAGATCTCAGCCCCAACACTCCGAGTATCCTAAGATAGGCGCAATCCTAGAAAAGATTCAGCCCAATCCCATTAGTCTATGTAACTGATCGGGTTCTCGCAGATTTTGCTTCAAGGTTTAGGATTAAAGGCCCTTGTTAAGGGTTGTCAGTACAACAGAGACCTCTTTGTAATTTGCGATAGCTGGGGCTGTTTTCAGCCATTAATGAGCTGTGGAGTTGTGGGGCACAGTGTAGGGAGTAGTTGTGAGATCTTGGAATAGATAGACTTTCGATAGATGTGCTTTTTTAATGGTGGTTGGCTATCGTGCCTATCTGCTGGAGAAGGGACACGCCAAAGGAAACCAACAGAGGTGTAGCAGTGAGAGGAGCCCTATACGCCAGAAAAAAGATTGCACATTGTCAAGCTTACGGAAGAGCGCAGCGTCAACATACCAGCGTTTCAATGAGGCCTCAACAACCTGAGCTTGTCTATTCTGGCTGCTCGGCTTTGGCATTCGAGGTCTGGGCTGCTGCAGGGTTGGATGCTTTCTGATTTGGCATGTGGGGTACTTCAAGTCACGAGCCATCTGCACTCACGCATCGTTTTGCCCCCCAGCTCCAGCATACGAGCGGGTACAATTTGCGATGCAGGATGATGCTGGGCTCGGAACAGCCCGCTTTGATGCTAAGGCTACTGTATAATGGCCAAGGGCATTTTGCAAATCCTTTTCGTAAGGACATTTCTGTCCACCTCATCATTCGCACCGCGGGTGCCTTAGTGAATCTTGCCATCGAGTTTGTGGCGCAGCCGGTCTTGACCAACATCACGGGCGAGGAGGCAGGAAGTGAGAGCGTGTCCGGCACAGCTTCCTATCCGAAAGCATGGGTTGAGTCACGTATCTGTTCCCGCTTCTTTCTTCTCTTTGTCATGCAGGCAGCGCAGGAAAACATAGCTGAAACCCGCAGGCAAACAAAGCAGACTTGTATTATGGGCGGCACTCCCTGGCTCCCTGGTACTCCGAAGGCGAAGTGGCCCCAAGTAAACGGCCGGGACTTGCTGCTGACTCTGTTGGGTACCTTCTTCGCAGGCCTTGTAGAGTCTTGGCTGCAAATTCCGTTTGCCGACTTGATTTCTCCTCTTCCCGAGTGCATCTTCGAGCTCGTGGCTCGAGCAGTTCTCGAAGCCGCTCTCTGACGTCCTTCTTTCTTCGCCCAGGAGTTCTGTGCGAAAAGTCTTGGGTTGGTTTGCTGTGAGTGGTGGTTTGCGGGCGTAGGCAGCGTAGATAGCTTAGGTTTGCAGCAAGCTCACCAGCTTCTCTTCGTCGGGCTCTGCTTGGACCTACTACGTTGGCATCGGGGCCGCCCGGTTTATTCTGGTGACTTGGAAGATGCTTCTAGTTTGTTGATCCCACTTCTGTGACCCAGGTGTGTTGCCTGTCGATGATCGCTTCGGGCATCGAACTCATCGTTGTGAGGTGCCTTGACGGGCTTGCCATGGCCTTCCTGCCGCCGGGGTCGTTGCCTCTGCGTGCAGGACCCTCAGCACCCAGTTGAAGATGAACGCCTTGGAGGCATTTGATCGGACAGCCCTGCTGCGGCATTGCTGTATCTCGTGAAAGAAAAATTGAAAGGCAGCATTTCCAGCTGGAAAGTCCCTTTCCTCCAGGCCATTCTGAACATGTCCTTGCCGGCATCCCTGCTACTTCTGCTGCCGGTGTTCTTCTTCCGACACTCGGTGACCCGGCCTTGGTCCATTAGTGGAAGAGGAGCTGCGCACTGGTGCCCAGCCTCGCACGTCGCCACACTGCAGTGGCACCACCATAGTGGTACGTAAAGGCTTCTAGCCTTCACCGTGCTTAATGCAAAACCTGTCCCATGCATAGCATTCGACAGAGTAACTGCCTTGGCGAGAATGCTTACTTGCTTGCCCGCTCTGTAAACGTCCTCTGCTTGCACTTTTCACGGTAGCTTGTATACTCATGTACATAGGTAGGCGTGTGTAGGTGTGCACGCGTAACCGACGCCCAAGAGTCCTGTCAGTTCCATCTATCGTTTTTGTGTTGTTATTGCCATATGCCTTTCGAGGTAGACGTAGAAGCGAGCATTTGCACTGTGCACGCTCTCAGAAGTGCTGCAGAGGTCTCCTGGCCAGGTTCCTCTGCTATGACCGATTGGCAGGCCAGGGTTGCGAATAACTACCACGCCGCGCGGTTTTTCCTTTTGGAACGGCCGAAACAAGATGAGACATGGTTCAGGGAGTGGGGTTGGCTGTGGGGTGTGAGAGTTGTGAGAGTACAGAGATCGACGCGATGTTCAAAAGAGCTCCATGTCGGGACGACAAGAATGATCCCCTCCTGTTTCAGGAGTGTTGGGGGATCTTCGTGAGTGGAGGGATCGAAGTCAAAGGTTCTCTGACGCTGCAGACACTATCCCTCGCTGCAGCTGCCCTGAGGTTCTGCAGCAGGTCTGGCAGACCAGCAAGCTAGGCATTGGTCTTGGTGTCTCAGCTGCCTTCAACAGTAAGTGGTGACGCTCTTCGAAGCCGTGTCTCTACCGGTGAACTGCAGAAATGATCTTGGCAAAGGGCGGCTCATCGTGCGGCGAAGTTTGCTGGCGGCGCGGCAGCTCAGGTGTGCTTTCTGGGATCTTCGCGACACTGTACAATGCCACTCGTGCGGGAATATGCAACAGGGGATGGCATTGAAGATGCCCATGTCTTTACGTCTGGGGCTGAGGTTATGTTGTATACCCTGAGTTCAAAGTTTCAGTCCCATGTGATCTCCATGGCCGGCAACTTCAACAAGGCAGCTCACGAGCAGTTTCCCTCGTTGGGAGAAGGCTACTTGTAGGACTAGGTGACTGTGAGTTCAAGATGAGATTGTCAGATCGCACTGATGTTCCTGTCCATCTACCTCGGCTTGGAATACCTGCCAAAAAGACCATGGTCCGAGGCCGTAAGCTGTCGTTTTGTGCATTCTTTTTCTATGCTCTTTCCGGTCCGTTCCCTTGCGTCCGACAGGTGATGATTGCTGGAATTGTTGGCAATGGGTTCCTCGGAGATGCGACGAGTCTCCTGCGTGGTGAGGCAGAGACCTCTGAGACTGTGCCTTGTCGTCAGGCTTGCCTTCATGATCATGGGTGCCTTGGCCTGCACCAGCTGAGGGCGCTTTTGGGCTTCGTCCGGCACTGGTCGTGTCACACCGTTGATGCACAAGCGACAGCAGCAAACGGTCGGAATTGCACATATGAAGAACTTGCAAAGAAGAAAGCACGGCATCACCCTCTTTCTTGTACCCAGGTCTTCTGAAGGCAAGGGAGGTTCCAGTGCCAAAGGCGGAGGCTGTGCCAGAAGTCACCGTCGCCAAGACCAACCAGGCTAGCATCTGGCGATATCTGGCGCCGAATTACATAATGTTCATGTATGTATGTATGTATGTATGTATGTATATACACACACAGATATGACTTGCAGCAAACAAAACGTAAAAAATAAGCCACACATACTACAAAATAACAAAAACACTACCTACAATATCCAATGTTTTTGTTAGCACTACCTTGTATGTCTCATGGTGTATGATATATATATATATATATACACACATATACATATAGATATATATTTTTAAATGCTTCGCGTCGCCCGCCTCGGCCCTGGCTGCACACATATGTGCCTAGTTGGTCGGAGGTGTTTGTCTAAGGTATGCAAGTCCTCTGCATAGAAGCACAGTACTTTGAAACTTTCGGTATCTTTGGCCTAGACTCAAACCCCGAGCCCGAGCACCAGGAGTAGGCTCACACTCTTTAGCGAAGAGCGGGGGAGGGCGTGAGGCTGCAAAAACAGAGAGGCCAAATCCATTGAAGGCGAGATTTCACTTGGCAGCAACTTCATGGGTTCACAGAGAGGAAGGGGGGGTCAGCGGGCCGCTTTTTTGGGGGTCAGTGGGGATCAAGAGGTGGGGAATCGAGGGAATCCGTATTGGAACCTCTGACCGCTTCGGCCGGGGCCGAGGCGAATCAACAAATATATGATATGTAGTACAGAATATACTCTCTGTATATGTATATGTCATATACATATAAATATATATATATATATATATATATATATATGTATTGATTGTGTAGTATGTGCAATATCACGTATAGCATATATTGTATAGTATATATTTATATATACATATATATTGTATGTATGCATAATGTATAATGGATCCCACGTACAGTATATGAGAATATCATATGCGGTATGATATGACATGATATGATACTATATTGTAGATGTCATGTTATGTCATGCTGTTGTATTGCAAGTCTGTTTTATTGTATTATGTTAAGCATATTATGTAGTTACTATCTTTCGCCGTACCTTGAACAAGAGTGGTTGCTCAGCTTCTCTCGTTGGCTTCTTGCCAGTCGTCATTTTGCCACCGTTTCTTAGTCTTATGTCGCCCCATCAGTGCTGACGGAGACTCTGTTGGCGAGGCTCTGGTGCAGAGGAATGACAGCACCGACAGCACGGACAACAGCAAGGTGGACAATGGTAAAGGGAACGCCGCCTGCCTGCGAATCCTAGCATAGGGTGGGAGTTTGACGTGCTGACAGACACTACAGCAGCACCGCACTAGCACCAGCATGAACCGACAAATGTAGCAATCGCAACCATTCGACTGCGACGACGACCACGACGACTCCTTTTGCGCATCTTTGCATAGTAGTATTCGTGCTAGCGAGAAGACAAGAATGAATGAGTGGCTCCGTAGTCACCTGAGGCCCAATGAGCATCCAGCTTGGCTCAGCAGAGCAGCGGCTGTTCTTTTCCGATGCTTCCCTATAAAGGGTTTCGGGTTCATGCAAAAAGGGTTTAGGTAGCTTTGTCAGCACTGCAAGCAGCGCTGATGCGGCAGCACACTACGTGCGGCCGAGTCCTGGGTTCTGGAGCTCTGGATGGCGTGCAGCTCAACCAGGTGCAGGTCAAGACCACGTTTGCTCATTCCTGCTATGCCACCTTTCCAATCCAATCGCACATCCTCTTTCAACCTTCCCTTCTTGGCGAGATTAGGGCAAGAGCTGCACGCCACAAGTAGCACCGTGCCACCATGCGGGAAGCAGTGGGGCCGGAGTTGAGGCGCGAAGCTGTGCCAAGCGCCAGGGCAGGGAAAAACACGACAGCATCTCCAGCTTTTGCAAAGCATAATTCCGATAAGCACAAGGAAAAGACACATGCTGGGCTGCTTTCAGGCAGGGACCACCCGTCAGACTTGCTGTGGGACAGTTGTTCGATCCATGGTGTCTCCCTGCTTTGGCTGATGATTTATTGTTTGTATAGGCTCTTTTAAATAACACCGCTTCCTCCGACAAGGGCGGACGTGAAGCTAGGTCTTTAAAGCTCATGTGCAAATGCACAGCAAAAAAGGAAAAGCATCGGAGGTGGCCTGAAGCCTCCGTGTTTGTCTTGAAAGACTTGCACTGAAGTTTCGCCTCGCGAGGGCTCACTAGTATCATGGGGAGAGCGCAAAGAGAGATGCTGAACTGTCAGGGTCGAGAGTTTGAGACTCGTTTGAGAACGGTACGAACATGATCAAACAGCGCACGGTTGAACACTTGCATCAGCAGCGTCACTCAAGTTCATATATGTGCATGGAACGCTTGGTGTCCTGGCGAATGCTCGGTGATGAAAAAAGTCTTCGGCGCCTTGGCGCTGTGCAGCTTGTTCGTCTTCTTCCGACGGGATTTCTGGTCCCGGCCCCAGCTCCTGCCGTGGGGTCTCGGTGTGGGCTAAGCCGTCGCTTGTTGCTTGGCAGGTCCGGCACTGGATACGTTGAGGCGGACGTGGCCCCAGCCAAGGTGGCCTCCGCGAAGCTTTCGGAGACGCTGAAGGTGGAGGAGCAGAAAAGGCACAGGGGCGCAGGGGCTGGGAGGGGCCTGTGTCTGCGACTGCAGAGTGACTGGGAGCACACACGAAGGCGGAAATATGCATTCGTCCACACTTCCAAGACCTCCAGAAGATCCTTCTGCGAAGCGGCCGCCATCCTGCAAGATGGGAAGTTGAAGCCACATATGCCCGACAGGAGAACTGAAGAAGAGAAGCAGGATCACCAATGTGCGGTCTGGAGGAAAACCAACGTTCCAGGATGTGTTCAATGACTTGCTTTGACTCTGGTCGACGTCTGCGTTGCTAAACCCAGCTGAACTCCAGTCGGACCCATCGTTCATCCGGGGAGTTGACGAAATTCCTCGGGGTGAGTATAGAAACCAGTTTTGCAAGAGTCAGCGATGCTGAGATGACGTTTCGTGTGACGCAGTCCCCACCCATCAAGAACACTCCTCTTCATGTCCCGTCTCTGGATTATGGAGTGCTGAGCCCAGGAGGGCTGGGATTTGGAGTGGTCGGACGAATTCAGCGGCGATAGCTTGAACTTGCCTCCGGGACGCAGCAAGAACCAAGATCTGCATTGTCAGAATGAGAGTCATGGCTGGCGGTGTTTGATAAGGACGTCCTGGGAGATTGTCTCTAGTCGCTGGCCTGCAAGCAGCTTGCAGGCTGTGAGCGCCCAAGCCGCTCAGCTCTGAAGGTCAAGGGGGCTATGACAACATCGATCTGCCGGTTGGAGGCCGGAGGCCTTTCCTGTCTCAATGCAGAATCTGAAGGAAGCGCGCTTTGCAGTGTGCATGCAACCATCAAAGGCTTGAACGTCACAGCTTGCCGCTGTGCTGCATGCCGCCGGGAGAATGCGGTGGTGGAGGATGGCAAGCTTCGAATAGTTTCAGACCGTGACCCGGAGGACAACACCAGGCGCAAGCTTCTTGCGGTGCGAAGAAGCCTGTCCGCCTTGACAAGTGTTTTCTCAGCGCAAGCACACATTTGTCGCCGACGGTTGAAGCGACTAAGTGACGGAGTAGCCTTCCCAAAGCATCCCAAAGCTGCGTCTAGTCCAGTTGGGTCCCATCCTTGCAGGTATTACTCAGCTGCTCTTTCCACGAAGGCCGCGAAAGTTTGGAAAGCAAGGCCTTCGGCATTCCAACGTGTCGCCTGCCAGGGCCGGCTGTCCTGGACGACCGACGATGGGCCCTTTCGCGTTTGTATCCGTGCCAAGCTGCCACTCAACACCCGAGGCAGAGGGAGGGCTGGGTCTGTCTGGTATAAAGTCGCACCCAAGACCGAGAGGTGTTTGGCCGGCGCACTGGATGCTTCCCGAGAATGGCCTCTCTGCCAAGCCCTTAAGTTTGCGAACTCTCGCGCCGTCTGGGCTGCAAGATTCTTGTTTGTCACTTTCAGCGGAGGACAGGTGTCTCGATGAAGGCGAGATGGACATCCTGGAAATGGTGAGCGGTGACGGCAAGGCCGAACAGCGACCTGCAGAGAGGGAGGGAAAGAGAAAGCGAGAAATTGCTGACAGTAACCTGAATAGCAGTAGCAATGCGAAGTATACTGACGAGAAGCACCTTGTCTCAATCTCCTCCCAAGGCGTACCATGCGTACCACTGGATGTCCAGCTGGCCTGGAAGCCGCTGTGGTGATTTCGACACCTTCCATCGCTCAGTCTCCTCGAGCATGATCGTCCGGGAGTATAGCACCGAGTTCCATGAGTACGCGGTTGAAAGGCCCCCCTCTGGTTCCTTTTGTCGCAAGGTCCTCATGTCTTCTCAGCTCAGGACCCCTGATGGCATCCGATATGCCATCGACGGCATCCCAACTGGAATCACCCTCGGATATTCACTTGCTGAATATCATGATCTACACTTACACTGTACACTGCACTGTGACATTTGCAAGCCAGGAGGTTACCGTGCTGCGGAGCGGGGCTTCACGCTCTCGTCTGCCCCCTGGTTCCTCATCCTGAACACAGCGACGCTTGGCCACAGTGGAGGTGGAATCTGGCTCAGGGGCCGTTTTCACTTATCTTTCAAAGCTCCTCGGAGGTGAGGCTAGGCATCAGGCCTGAAGCCCGAAGACGTCCATCAGTTCAGATCCTTCACGGCAACTCTTTATATGCTGTCCTCACGGCAGCGATGCATTCTGGTGCTTCTGCCTGCAGCCGCCGGCAGACATCCACGAAACACCTTCGTGATTTTTGACACTTCAAGGTCAGTGCCCATTTCCACATGGGCACGTTGGAGGCCTGGCAGATCAAAGCACAGTGCCGCCCTGTCAAGGATTGGCGGTGGATGGCCGGGGTATCCGGCGCCTGAGGTAACCTCCATGCCCGCTCTGCGCTTATGACTTATGACGCTGTAGTGTGCTGCAAGCAGTTGCAGCCGTAGCTGATTGCTACTGCTGGTGGCTGCAGAACCTTCTCCCAGCCTGACGGCCGAGGTGGAGCATGTGATCGACTGGGTCCGTGTTGTGCGGCGACGTAGCTGAGAGGTAGCCTTCCCCAAACCGAAGGCTGACAAGGACAAGGACGACACAAGATTGTCTGACGGCCGCGGTTGCAGTGTGCGAAGTTTGCAAACATCGGCCCCGGCAATTCTGTTGGCTTAGGAGGATTGCAGACCACTCAGGTTTCTGCATAAGCGTCAAGCGCCAAAGCCTTTTCCAACCTGTTCAAGCTGATGCAGCTGGAATGCATTGTTGCATTTGGAGCTTGAAAGCTGCAGATGTGGTCGCTATTGTTGCCGTTGATATCGCTGTTGCTGAACTTCGGGGAAGTCATTGCAAACTGACAAAGTGCGGGTGGGTGGTCAGTCTTTGCACTCGCCTGCTGTTGGTTTGAGGAGATCCCTTGTTCTTCCTCCATGCTTGCAGTTGCCTGCCTGTGCTTGCGACGAGCCAACCTTTCTTTTTGCAGCGTTGGACTGCCGCGTAGCGTTTGGGCTCAAAGCGCACATCATTTTCTACGGCACTCGACACAACGGCTGCGATGTCCAGCTCCGTGCCAGCCGGCTTTCTGTTCGACTGGAAGAACAGTCTGGCCTCAGCCACCTGTCAGCGGTTTTGTGCAGTTGGTGTTTTGTGTACGCAGCTGAAGCTGGATGCATGGACGCGAAGGTGAAGAACACTTTTATTCATGTGGACGATGGCGAGGATGGCGAGCTTGTGCCTCGCCTCGAAGAACTCAGCTGAGCGGTGAGCACATCGCACCTGAGCACTGACTCAACAGGAATGGTGGGATCCCACGTGCCGACTCCGGCGTACCACAAGCTGCCCAGGTCGCCTCCAGGCGACATGCAATCCTTCACGACTATGCGTAGAAAGCACCAGTGGCAGTCAGTGCGTAGCGGCGCGGTGGTGCTGGTGTTGGTGGTAGAGGAAGGCATAGCATGGCATAGCCTTTTGGCACTGCCTGTTGCAGAAAGCATGATGTGCTTGACGGAGGTATATGAGCAGTCCCATATCGTGGAGGCCCAGCAGGAGAGTCCAAAAGCTCCCAGGCTCGAGCCTGTGCCAGCCTCGGGTGACTTTCGTCTCTGATCCCGCTACTCCCTCATATTCCGATTTCAAGAACTGCTTTCTCTGGCTTGGGTCCATTCCCGTTTCTTGGGCACTAGGTGCTGCTTCTGAAGACTGGCTTGTGGGAAGACTCCACGGATGTCGAGGCCCTCGTCGGGTTAGCGGAAGAAGAGGTTTCTGCATTGTGGCCAGGAGCGATCGGCATCAAAGGCCAAAACCTCAGAGCCTCAGAGAGGCAGTCGGCAGTCTTTTCAGGCACCGATCCACCGATCTTTTCAGGACTCCACGCCCATCGATGAATCTTCGATGTTGGAGCGGAACCTGCTGCTGCACCAGCTCGGTGAAGGGCCGAGCTGCGATGCAGGAGATCCGAATTACAATGCCATCAGTCTAAGACCAAGGCAACTGCAAGCCATGCTCCTACTACTACTTCAAGGAGGACCTGTCTGCCTTCAGCCTTAGCTGCCTTAGCCATTTTCGCAGCACCGACAGTGGCAGGATGGTTGCCGAAACGGTGATAGCTGTGAATTCTGCCACTTCTGCTCTCCAGCAGCCGTTAAAGAAAGCGCCTGGGCCGCGGCTCGAAGCTCTTTTCGTTCTTCCGGCTTGAAATCAACATGCTTTTTGGTTCCCCCCCATTTCCCTGGTGTTGCAATCTGGGCTGACGCGGCAAGGCAAGCGACGTTTTAAGCGTGATGCACGCCGAGAGATGCTTGGCTTGCAAGCCGCTTCTCTACAGTGGATTCCTGAACTTAGTCGGTGCACCCATTTGGGCACAGAGATCTGTGGCCCACTTGTCAGACTGCTGCTATGACAGGTCCACATCCAACAACGGATTTATTCGATCCAGGCTGCAAGACTCCATTCGAACGGTATTCAGCACTGTCTTTCGACATGTGGAGAATCAGCAAACCACCGGTTTGCTGCTCCTGTCCCCGCTGCTCCTCCATGCGTCGCCCCTACTACTACCTCCAGTTGCTAATAGCACCACCACCGCCACCGCCACCACCACCACCACCGCCGCCGCCGCCGCCGACGGACGACGACGGACGATGACTACTAGTACTGTACTGTTGCCACTGGCGACTCTTCCTCTGCTGCCATGCTTCTGATGCTTGCTGCTCGCTTGCTCCCACTCGCGCCGCCTGCTCTGCCAGTCTGCTGTCGGTGTGTCGAGGTATGTACTACTATATAATATGCTTATTCACCCACTCGTTTCCTGCTGCTGCTGCTGTTGCTGCAGCAGCGACAACAGGAATACAATGACCACAGCCACGACCACCCTTTGCAGCGAAGAGAATCCCACACCTCCACCGCGCCCCCACAAAGAGGGAGAGGCAGCAACAGCAGCAGCAGTCGTAGTCGGTGTTTGGCTCGCTGTCTAGGAAGAGGGCGGCGCACCTGGAAGCAGCACGTGACGCTGCTCAGGAGAAGGCACTGTTGGTGGCAGGGTAGTTGTGGCCGGCTATGGGGTGACCACCTTTCCACGGATTGTGAGTCTGCGGTTAGATCTCAGGGCTCAGGGCATGGGAAGGACACCCTAGCTTTAGGCGACACACACACATGCAAGTTCCCCAACTAGACAGCATTGGCGAACCGCGACATCTGTAACACATGGGCAAACACAGATACACGGATGCACGCGTAGAGTTTTGTAATCTCTCTCTCTCTCTCTCTCTCTCTCCGTCTCTCTCTCTCTCTCTCTCTCTCTCTCTCTCTCTCTGATTGTACAAAGTACAGGGCCAGGTCTTTGCTTGAAAGCATGTACGCCTTTGGAAAATCACGTATCGCGAGAGCAGTCAGTTGGCAAGTAGCAAAGTGCAGAATTTCTGGTCTCACGGTTTCCGATTCGATTTCCTACAGCAGGCTGCACAGCTTCGGCTTCAGTAAGTGTATGCGATTGTGCTGGGGACTCGAACCGCCTGCTCAGGGATCCGAACCTCCTGTCGGTCCCCCGTACCTTCGGCCGCGCCCTCTGCATGTGAATCATGGTGGCATGGTAGTGATGATGACACTGATGATCAATGCTAGTGCGAAGTCGCAGCGAGCAGTAGCGAGCTTGGTAAGCGATGCCATTGTCACCCTCATTGTCGAAATACTTGTGCGAGTAACAGCAGGTGCCGTTGCAGCTGTTGCTAGTGCTACTGCTACAACTTCAGTGGCTTCGACAACTGCGATGACAACGACGACCGCTGCTTCTACTTTCAAGCTTCTGTATGCTAGCTGCAAGTTCTGTGCTTCTGCCCCTGCTGCAAATGTTGTATGTTTCACGGTCAGAGCACAGGTTTGTTTCTGTGGCAACTCCTTTTCTACACGGCCTCTTAATGCCTCTGACCACTTCCAATACGACTACTATTAATACGGTTCCTACTGCGTAAGTGCAGCACTCCTAGCACCACTACCACTACTTAAGACTGCCGGTTGCAACACTACCACCACTACTACTGCTACTACTTCTACTACTACTACTACTACTACCACCACTGCCGCTGCCGCTGCTCAGCACTACAACCACCGCCACCACCTCAACTACTGCTGCTGCTGTTGCCGCTGCTACTGCTACTTCCGTCGCTGCGACATGCTTTTTGGCGGGTTTTTGGCTTGCCAGCCCTTTATCCCTTTGTCTTGCAATCAGCTGAGAGACGACCAGCTTCAGGGCCACATTCTCTTTCGGCGTAGTGCCTGGTAGGCCGTCAGATGGGAACGACTGTATCGTTTTCCTTTGCATCAAGGAAAGCTTGAAATTCTGACTACAGCACCCACAGACGACGACAGAACCTTGGATGACGATGGCGACAGCAGCGGCTGCGACGACGAAGACGACAACTATGCGACTACGGCGGCGACGACGGCCCTGCTGCTGCTGCTGCTGCTGCTGCGCTTGCAGCTGTATGGTGGGTACGACAGCGCTTCTTGGGGGATAACCTTCATTTACACACCGTTTTCCTCGAGCACACGAGCATGCTGAGGCGTGCGCGGGGCAGCCGTGGGAGGCTGGGTTGCAGCACCGCCGTCACTGCAAATGCTCGGGTGCTGCAAGTTGAACACGGGCAGCTCTACACACATGTACTGTAGACAGTATGTAGTTATTCCCTGCGGAAAAGGTTTTTGACATACTAGCAGGCTTGCAGAGTTTTGAAATCAGGCAACAATATTCTGAGACGGCGGTTTGCCTGCTACAGGACGGCTTCCTCTCCAAATGTGTTGCCATAAGGCAGGTCGCACAGCCCAGTGCCAGCGCATGTGCTTTGATGATTGGAGTGTATCTGCCACAGATTGCAGTGCAGCGAGGTCCTCGGAGGAGTGTGAGCTTGAGCCCAAGAATCTGACATGTGAGTACCCTCCATTACTGCTGCCACTGCGCGGCAGGAGTAGCGAGTCTTGGTTAGCATCATTGAAAACATAAGCCATTAAGCATCTGTTCCTGGTCCTGTTGCTTTTGTGGAGGGATTCTGTCCACTTGAGAGAGTGGATTGCAACGAAAGCCGTCTGTTGGCGAGTTGCCTAGTTGGACCTTTCTATTCAGTGAGTCGGGCAGCTGGCTCCGACATGAAGCTTATGCAGTTAGAGTCTTGATTTCCAGCGGTCAGCTGCCCAACTCTTCACTACGATGGCAACTTGGAGGAGGGATCCTCTGCAAAGTCAATACAGCATCCATAAAGCCCAAGCCCTTTTCCTTGTTGCCGGTGGCTGGTGATAGGTCTTTTGACATCGACTTTCGATGTTGTGCTGCAGAGGTTCGCCTCGCAGCGCGCGCTAGGATGGCTTTGAATTTGACCCTTGTTACAGAGACCTTGCCAAGATGCAAATCAGTGTGCCTCTGCGGAACGGCGTAGGGAATCGAGAAGTAGCCGGGAGTGTGTAGTGAAGTGTAGTGAGTGTAGTGTGAGGGGCACAACAGCGACTTGCATCTTCGCAGCTGATTGTCTAGACATCGCCACGCGGCTGGCTGGCGTTGATGCCAGGTGCCAGCTCGCAACAGCTGCTGCGCTGCAATCGCTCGAAGGGAGCCCTGACGAGCTAGAACCAGCGAAAGCACTTCAAGCACCAAACGGGTTCTGCTTTTGAAATGCCCACGCTCCGCTTTAGCGAGCAGTTTCAGCGCAGTGGCTTGAACCGGATTTGGGGACTTGATGCATCTGGCCCGCTTGGCACTGCCTGCAAGTGTAGCGGAGTTCTTGCCGAGCAGGATCGGACGACCGCTGCAGCTGCAAAGCACCTTCGCTCTTCGCTCGGGTCCCTTGGCCGTAAACGTGCCCTGGGACCCCACCCCACTTGCCCAGCTTGCAGCCGACCAAGCCGCCAGACAAGCACCGCAGCACGAGACATCCGAGGAAGCCTTCCAAAAAAAGTCATCCTAAGCCTCGACGGATGTCGGGCCTCACTGAGTGGGCAGAGGACCCTCGCCCACTCAAAAGGGGCCAATGTTCCTTTAGGCACTGCGCCGGGGCGTTGCGACGCCACGACACGATCGCTTCCCTTGAACCCGCATGGCCTGGGCAGCTCCTGGGCCATCTGCCGCTTCAGGGATGTTTTTGAGCCGTTTTGAAATCCAGGCCCATCTGCCGCGCGAAAGGTTTATGTGGGCCGCCGTTGAGCTGAGCGAAGTCCCGCCTAAGCCCAAGCAAGTTGCAAGCTTGCAAAAGTAGGCCATACTCCGTCTTGGGTGCCGGTGCGGAAACCTCGGCGGACCCCAGGCCCTGCGTTGGACCCTGGTTGCCACTGTGCCGCGCCTCTCTTCCAGCCTGATTAGTTGATTAGTTGTTACCGCTAAGACTTTCGGTTCCTGTGCTTCAGCATTGGAGTGTTTGGCTACGAGGTGGTTGGAACAAATAGGCATTGGCACGCAAGATCGATTCAACTTCAGCAGTGTGCACACTGAGAGCCCAAGCAGCCCGGATGGTTTTTTACACAGATAACTTGGGGACAGTCCATAATTTTCAATCTGTTGGGCCGAAATCCGGACAGCCTGGATTCCTGGATGCCTGGAGTCAGCAATCCAGATTAGCCGATTTCTCCATGAGATGATCAGTTATCTGGATCTTTTGGCCAATATTTTGGCATCTGCTTGCGTGACGGGGGTCTCACGCCGATTGGCACCAGAATAGTCTGTGAGAGTTTGGAATCATCTGCACTAGGCCAAGAACCATGTGAGGTCGGGTTGGTGCGGCTGGGCTTTCCTGGCGAAGCAGACACGCTGATATCTCCAATGCAGATTCCACAAAGATGCTGGGATTCCGATTCCATCTGTACAAGAAGGGTTGCTTGCAAGGCCCCAGTCTACATTGGCATATACACAGCCAAACCTAGCTAGCTCTGCAACCCTTCTCCCAAAGCTTGAGCTGCTGGCTGGCAGAGCTTTCGATAAGCTGGATCTGACTCAGATGTAGAAAAACCCTCTCTCAAACACTTGGGCCTACCAGCAGTGGTGCTGTGCTTTCGAGACGGTTCCGGTAGGGAGCGTGGCTCAAGATGCAGCGCATATAATTTGTCACCGCAGGTTATAATGTGTCGCCGCAAGCTCCAGTATCCAAAGTAAACCCCCATGGAGTTGTTCGTAACATTTCCCTTTTCGGAACGGGCACGATCGTCATTGCTATTGATAAGCGGTACTGTAAGCGTCAGCGTCAGAGGGTTTCGGCCTGGCGTGGTAGACAGCTTCGAACTGCATATCGTCCACGTGCTGGTAGCAGTAGCAGTAGCAATAGCAGTCTTAGTGGTAGTGGTAGTGACTGGTAGTGGTGGTGGTGGTAGTGGTGGTAGTGGTAGTAGTGGCCGTGGTAGTGGTAGTGGCAGTGCAGTGGTAGTGGTAGTGGTAGTGGTAGTGGTAGTGGTTGTATTAGTAGCAGTAGTTGTAGTTGCAGTTGTAGTTGTAATTGTAGTTGTGGTTGTACTGGTGTTCTTGGTATATGGGCGATGCACGAACAGGGCAGCGCTTGCTACAAGATCTGGGCAACTAGCCGCACCGAGTTACACCACACATGCAACACGTCAGTTCCCCAAGTGTTTAGGATGCTTTGAGTGTGAATCGCAGCATCTGTCTTGTGCACGCTTTGCACCGCAACAACATCCTGTTGCACTTTGATGTGTGACCGCCATCTTCTGCTGAAGACTGATCCCGCTCGTGTTTGCTGTCGCTGGATGGGACAAGCAGGACAATATACAATCAAATCAGGATTGGGATCACGAACCTGTCTGCTCTTTTGCTGAGTGCCCTGACCTACCCTGAGACGGTCTGAAAACTCGGGCGAGCGCTCGGGTGTCATGGCGCTTGCTGTTGGATCCTCTGATTTTTGAAGTATGTGCTGTTTGCTGCACTGGGCTGGCGACCAGATCAGCACCAGTGCCAGGGCTCGAGATCATTCGTGTTTCTGCCGCAAGACATATACCACCAAATGGGGTGGTCTTGCTTGTGGCTTTCAATGGGGACTTGCCCCTTGGCCTTCAACAGAAGCAGGCGCACCTTTTCCTGTTGCTCCCAAACGCAGCTGCTACCCAGTGCATGGTTCAAGACACCTAACCTGGCACCCTGGCATTGTGCAAGTGGTCATGTAGTTCCTAAGCCCTAGGTCCCTAGGTTGCAGCTGCAGAACATGCACGCGTCTCCTTGACAGTCTTCCCGGAACATTCCGACAGGGATGGCAGTCATGGGAGATGCACGAATTCAACGGACGGGATTGTTTAAAGAGATCCGACCCAGCTTTCATCCCTTTTTTCGAGCTCTGCCCGTTGAGTGCGTAGACTTTGTGGCTCTGAAACCAAGTTGAGCCTTCGCGAAAGGAAGCGACTCGGGGTCTGCTCGCTCTTGCATGTGCCAGCCTACATATGCCTTCAGCTTACACAAACCTGCTGAACCTGACGCGATTCCTCAGAAAGCAGGGGTTTTTCGCGATGTAGATTCCAACTTCTTCTCAGGTGCAGTCAGGTGGCATGCAGCAGTCATCGGTAGCAGTTGTCTGAGGATGTCCGAGGTAGGCGTGCAAATGCCAGCACCCGAAGATGTGCGTGCCAGCATGAGTTGCAGCAAAGTCACGGCCCAGGGAGGGTTGCAAAAAGCAGAACGGTACTTACTCACACTCGTTCCAAGGCTGTGATCTTGAGGAAGGTGCCCGGTCGCTCAGCATGTGCTTCATGCAAGTTGATGGCGTGATATGCTTCCTCAGCCTCACACCAGGTTAGCGCATCCAAGCCCGATGGACGCGCAGAACGATGCAGGCAATCAGAGCTTGAAGTGGGTCGAAGGAATCTCGATGCTCTCGTCTTCACATATGGCAGCCTTCGACTCAGCTGGCTGTGGGACCTGATATCAGCATTGCATCATCTATGCTCATCCTGACCCCCTTCGTGCAGGAATTGCGAAGACATCCCTGGATGTCACATGACCCCAGATTTCACATGACCCCTATCACGAGCTGGAGAGTTGGTAGCCTCCATAGCATCCTTTACAAGTGCATCCAATGCTTCGCCATGGTTGGCCCGGGGCCAGGCAAAGCCGTGACAGGGCCGCAGCTTCAGATTGCGGGAAAGCAGGAAGATGGGAGAGTCTACGCCGAAACTGAAGGGGTTCTGTTTTTGTCTCGTTCAACACATGTCTGAAGCGCCTCAAAACCCAGCTCATCCCAGCTCCTGGTGCGCGACATCCTCTTCTTGCTGCTGCTCTTTGCCGTGCCAACCGGAGCCTTCCTCTGTGCTTTCGATCGACTCCCGGCTGCTACAGGAACGGGGCTGTTGGAAGCTGTGAGTTTCAGGGCTTTCTCTTGCTTGAGCGATGAGACTCGACACTAAAACCTGGCGGACCGCTTCACCCTGAAACCCCCAAAAAGCTTCTGAAAAGCTTGTCTGTGAAGTGTCAGACCGAGTGTTTTCCTGCGAACCCTTCGGGGATCGACCCTGGAAGGCACCCTGACACTCTCTCACAGAAGGCTGCTGTCAGAAAGCCGTAGAATATTATAGCTGTTCTGCCTGCTGAAGCTGGGAGTTTCAGGGTTTTCTCTTGCTTGAGCGATGAGACTCGACACTAAAACCTCGCGGACCGCTTCACCCTGAAACCCCCAAAAAGCTTCTGAAAAGCTTGTCTGTGAAGTGTCAGACCGAGTGTTTTCCTGCGAACCCTTCGGGGATCGACCCTGGAAGGCACCCTGACACTCTCTCACAGAAGGCTGCTGTCAGAAAGCCGTAGAATATTATAGCTGTTCTGCCTGCTGAAGCTGGGAGTTTCAGGGTTTTCTCTTGCTTGAGCGATGAGACTCGACACTAAAACCTCGCGGACCGCTTCACCCTGAAACCCCCAAAAAGCTTCTGAAAAGCTTGTCTGTGAAGTGTCAGACCGAGTGTTTTCCTGCGAACCCTTCGGGGATCGACCCTGGAAGGCACCCTGACACTCTCTCACAGAAGGCTGCTGTCAGAAAGCCGTAGAATATTATAGCTGTTCTGCCTGCTGAAGCTGGGAGTTTCAGGGTTTCTCTTGCTTGAGCGATGAGACTCGACACTAAAACCTGGCCCACCGCTTCACACTGCTGAAAAGCTTGTCTGTGAAGTGTCAGACTGAGTGTTGACCCCTTCGGGGATCGACCCTGGAAGGCACCCTGACACTCTCTCAGAGAAGGCTGCTGTCAGAAAGCCGTAGAATGTTGGTTCTGCCTGCTTTTTGGCGTCACGTGGTCTTGCTGCTCTTGCTTTCTTGCGTTTGTTCTTCCGGTTGTGTGCCCAGGGTTCGAATGACAAGCGGTTGCCGGTGGGGCCATGTTGCCCCTATCCAGAGAGCAGCAATCAGAGCACAGCATTCCGCGGTAAAATCGGAAATATTGCGGGTCGACGCGAGAGCCCATGATGGCAGGCTCCACTCCCTTTGCCTGCGGGCAGGTGGCAGGTACCCAGCCCATTCTCTTGTAGTGGGTCGTGAAAAAGGCCACTGCCGCAGTCCAGGAAACCCACCGCTTCAGGAAATCTGAGACATGCATGTGATCGGACGGGGCGGGGTTAAGAGGTGTGATCAACCGCTTTGGCCAAAAAAGAGCCGGCAAAACAAGTACTGGTGGCTAGGGGTGTGATCAACCGCCAGCCCTACTGAGGGGACGAATCTAACGACTACCGTCAACCGCCATCCCCCAAACCGGCCCAGTTTTAGGAGACTTGACCAAGCACCATCGCCCGCCCGCTTTCAGTCTTGCCCTCACCTCGTGTTTTTTTACACCGAAGCCACGGTGAAGACCCCGGGCGCTTGTCTTCTTTTTTTTTGGCACCAAAGCCAGGGTGAAGGCAACGGCCACTTGCCTTCAGCGTGTGTTTTTGGCACAACAACCATCGTGAAGGCAACTGCCGCTTGCCCAAGACACCGTAACTTGCCTGCACCGTGTGTTTTCGAACCAAAGCCAGGCAACGGCCGCGTGATGCCGCGTGCCTTCACCGTGTGATTTTGGCACCAACACCATGGTGAAGGTAACGGCCACTTGCCTTCAGCACGTGTTTTGGGCACCAGAACCATCGCGAAGGCAACGGCCGCTTGCCACAAGCCTTCGTCGCGTGTTTACAAGGCAACGGCCGCTTCCTTCACCGCGTTTTTCAGTACCTTCGCTTAGTGTCGTCGTGCGCTCCTTCCGTGCCCTCGCCGCCCTGCGGCGGTGCGCGGAGATGCGTTGTAGTGCCAGAGTCCTTGTATTCTATCTGCGGCCTTTACAGGGACCTCTGAGACTTTCAATTTTATAGTTTTGGGAGCATAGAGACAATGCAGCACGCAAACCTTCGCCATGATAAAGGCAACTGCAGCTTGCCTGCCATGGTGAAGGCAACGGCCGCGTGCCTTCACCGAGTGTTTTTGGCACCACGGCCACGGTGAAGGCGACGGCCGCTTGCCTTCGCCGTGTGGACTTATGGAGGCAACGGATGCTTTGCTTCACCGCATGTCTCGGCACCAGCAGCGGCTGCTTGCCTTGACCGGTTTTTTGGCACCATAACAACGGTGCAAGCAACGGCCGCTGGAGTCCTCCATGATTCTTGGCGGCATCTCACTGGTACAGGCGACTGCCGCTTGCCTTCAGCGTGTGGTTTTGAAGCCAAATACACCGGTGATGGCAAGCGGCCGTAGCCTTCACCATGCATTTGAGGTGCATCCCTCTGTGTTGGCCACCAATCGGGGGTGAATTGTTTGTGTTGGCCGCAAGATGGGTGGTGAGGAGGCAGTGCTCCTTTCACCTCGTGCTAAAAAGCACGCCGTGAAGGCAAGCGGCCGCTGCCTTCACCATGGCTGTGGGCGTTCACCATGGTTTTGGTGCCAGCAGCACTCTGTAAAATTGCCTTCACAATGGTGTCGGCGCCAACAACACACCGCGACGGCCAGCGGCCTTTGCCCGCACCATGGTTTTGGTGCCAAAAAACCACGGTGCAGGCAAGAGGCCGTTATCTTCGCCAATGTTGTTGGTGCCAAAAGCACAGTCAAAAAACGCAGAAACGCATGGTTTCGGTGCGAACAACATGCGGTGAAGGCAAGCGGTCGCTTGCATCGAAAACATTGGTGAAGGCACGGCCGCTTCCCTTTAACGTATGTTTTTGGCACCACACCATCGTGAAGACAACCTTGCCTTCACCGTGTGTCTTAGGCACGAAAACAAGGCACCGGCCGCTTGCCTTCACCATGTTTGTTGGCACCAAAGCCATGGTGAAGGTCAAACGGCCGTGAGATGAAGGGAGGCCCCGCTCCTGACACCTGTGTGTGTTGGCCACTCAGCCGGAGGTGAAAGGAGGCAGCATTATTTTCATCCTTTCGCTTTGACAACAAAGCAGGAAGTGCAGTGAGGCCACCGACACCGACACCCTCACCACCCACACCACCAACACCAACACCAACACCAGCTCCAACCCCACCAACCGCAACCGCAACGACAACAGCGACAGCGACGGCAACGGCAACAGCAACAGCAAACGCAACTGCATAGCACCTGCACTAGCAGAAACATCATCATCAACAACACCAGCAGCAAGAACAACAACAAGAATAACAACAACAACAGCAACAACAGCAACGACAACACCAACACCAACTGCAACTGCAACATCCTCGTCCATCCATCCATCCAGCCAGCCATCCATCCATCTATGGACGGATATGTCAACCGATACATCCAGCCATCCATTCATTTCTTCCTGCAGGCATGCATCATCCATGCACACAGGCATGCGCACACATCGTTGCATCCATACATCCATGCATCCAGATACACATATGCAGGTATATTAATATATCTATACACAGCTACATCTGCAACACATGCGCACACACACACACACATATATATATATATATATATATGGTAACCCCCCCCCAGGACCAACCTCGGCCATTCTCCTGCTCATTACTGTCTTCACAGCGTCATGAATAAGAGCCGAAACCACTGTAAATACCGATGGTGTTTGTGTTCCCGTACAAAGTTTGCACTCTCGACGCCTCTTGACAGACTGGTAAAAAACAGGGTCCAGTTTTATGGACACCATTTACACTCTCGGCGCGTCTTGTCGGAGTGGTAAAAGACAGAGTCCAGTTTGTGTGCTTCATCCTTTATTAATTATTGTCATCTTGTCAGAGTCTTATTCTTAGTTTCAGTCTTAAAAAACAGTGTTAACATTGGTCTTGACTTAATTTTGTTCTAAATTTTAACCTCAATTATTGTGAGTAGTAACCTTAATATTTTTGCTAGCGTTAGCATTATTATTAGTTTTGTGTCATTACTAATTTTAGAAGTTCTAACAATGCTGCTGGTATCTGTCCAATATTACTGTTCGTTTGATTAGCGTTCCTGCTAGTGCTGATGCTGGTGTCAGTGTCAACGTCAGTGTTAGTCTTAATATTAATATGAGTATTAGTGCTCCAGTTTAATTCAATATATGTCTATAGCAGTGTTAGTGTTAGTGTTCGTGTTAGTATTCGTATTAATATTAGACGTGGGCTGGGCTTTAAACACCTAGTCTTAGTACATTATGTGTATATGTATTCATATGTGTATATTCAGTATATTGGTATATAAACAAAACATATATATTAAGAATTTTTTTGGGGTATATTCGTATATTGGTATATTAGTAACAATGGTCTATTGGTATATCAGTTTCTCAGTATATTAGTATATTAATTTATTAGTATATTAGTATAATGCTATAACCATACATATTGGTAAATGAAAACATTGACTTTTTAACAATCTGATGCATTCATTTTCTTGTGCCTTATTCTGATGTATTCTTTAGTATACATTACAAAAACGATATTGACATTAATATGATGTTTGTAAATTCATATTGGTATTGATATTAATATGAGTATGTAATAATCTTTCTATATTTGTATGAGCACAAGTAACTTTACTAGTATTATGCATGTTCGTACTAGCCGAAGTGTTAGTGCTCATATTAATATCAATATGGTTCTAAAGAGACTATTAATATCGGTATTCGTACTGAGAATAATTTTGTCAAGAACATGAGCATAAATACCCGTAGGAATATTCATACCTATGCTTGTATTGGTATTAATACTCGTATTAGCATGAGTACTAGCATTAGTACTTATCTAGGCATGACGGTTCTTATATGAATATAAAAGGGGAACATGATTATTAGTATTCGTAAGGTCATTAGTTTTCCTATACATTAATGCTAAGTAATATTACTATGTTACTATGCATATTAGTATTGGCAAGAACATTAAAG